GAGTAAATCAGAAAAGTCATCTCATTTCAATAGATACAGAAAAAGCATTTAATAAAAGTCAGCACCCATTCATGAGGAAAAGGTCTTAGAAAACTAGCAATAGAAGGAAACTTTGTTAATCTGGGAATAGTATTTGTTAAAAACCTGCAGCAACCATAATACTGGAGAAATGTTGAAAGCTTTCTTTCCAAGAAAGCTGAATTTCCAAGATTGAGAATATATGAGAGTAGTGTCTGTTACCTCCTTTCTAAATCATCACTGTACGAAAGATCCCAGCTACGTTACTGATGCAGGTAAATCCATCGTTGCATAAAATTCTGTTGGGCACCCCCATTCTGTAGAGATCAGTGCAGTTTCAACATCCCAACATAAGTTTGTTTTGGTGGATTTGATGGGCCTGAATCAGAAACTTACATGGAGTAGCAAAACTAACTTTTTTTTTTTTTTTTTAAAGAGGTGAGGTCTCTGTCATCCAGGCTGGAGCACATACAGTGGCACAATCATAGCTCACTGCGGCTGTGAAATGTTGGGCTCAGGTGATCCTCCCACCCCAGCCTCCTGAGTAACTGAAACTACAGGTGTGTGTCACCATGCCTGGCTTTTTTTTTTTTTTTTCCCTTGTAGAGATGGGGTGGTGGTGTGTTGCCCAGGCTGGTCTCAGACTCCTGGCCTCAAGTGATTTCCCACCTCGGCCTCCCAAAACCCTGGGATTACAGGCATCAGCCCCTGCGCCCGGCCTGCCAAAATGTTCTTGAAGAAGAACAATTTCCTGTTGGATGTTTAAATTTTTAAAGCTGTTGTAATTTAGTTAGTGTCCAGTTCTTGAACAGAGATCTAAGTAGGTAAGTCTGTATCCAGTAGAACAGAATAGGGAGTCCAAAACTAGATCCACGCATAAAGGAGAATGTGATTTATGATAAAGATGGGGTTACAGAGCAGTGGAGAATGTTAGTTTTTTAAATAATTGGTTAAGGATCAACTGGATGTTAATTGGGGGGGGAATGAAACTAGATTCCTATTTTACACAGAAGTGAAATGCAAATGCATTGTGCATTTAGATGTGAGAGAGAGCCCAGTGTTTCGAAGGTAGTAGATTTTTTTCGAAAAATTTCTTAGACTCCAAAAGTACAGTACTAATTGTAAAGCAAAAGTTGATAAAATTAAGAACTTTTATTCATCAAAGTATACGATTAAGAGAGTAACAAGGCAAGCTGCCTGTAACCAGTAGGGGCTTACTCATATTCAGAATATGTATTTTTTAAAATCCTAGAAATTTGTAAGAAATGGGCTTACAATTCAGTAGAAAAAACAGAAAAGCAACCTGAATGTACATTTCACGAAGTGATATGTAAGTGGCCAGTACACATCAAAAAATGCTCATAGTCACTAATTTTGCATAGGAGAATGCAAATTAAAACCACACTGTAGTACCACAGCACAAATACACTTAGCATAATGGTGGAAATTAGACTGATGATTGCATGCTGTAGTGAAGGAGTGGAGCATGGGAATTTTTCATAAACTGCTAGTGGAAAAATGATTGGAACAAAAAAAGACTGGAAAAACAACAGGACAGCATCTCTGTGTATACCAAACGATGCGTAACAAGAATCTTACAAGTGGCAGTGTTCATAGTAGCCCCAAACTGGAAATAATCCAGGTGTCAGTCAGTAGTGGAATGGATAAATTATCATTTGTTCATGTATTGGGGTATTGTAAAGCAATGGTAATGGACAAACTACGGTTTATAGGATAAGATGAAGTAAACAGTTCCACTGTATTACATTAGTCTCTACTTGCCCTGCTATAAATAAATACCCAAGACTGGGTAATTTATAAAGAAAAGAGGTTTAGTTGGCTCATGGTTCTTTCTTCAGGCTGTACGGGAAACATGAAAGCCTCTGGGGAGGCCTCAGGAAAACGTTCGATCATGGCAGAAGGTGTTGGAGAAGCAGGCATGTCTTACATGGCCTGCAAAGTCAGGCAAAACGGGGAGGTGCCACGCAGTTTTAAACAGCCATTTTTTGTGAGAACTCTATCACGAGAATAGCACTAAGAGGGACGATGCTAAACCATTAGAAACCACCGTCATAATCCAATAACCTCCTCCCAGGGCCCTCCTCCAATATTGGGGATTACAATTCGACATGAGATTGAGGCAGGGACACAGATCCAAATGGTATCACCTGCTCATATGAAAACATCACGCCTGTGATCTTGGCACTTTGGGAGGCCGAGACGGGTGGATCATGAGGTCAGGAGACTGAGACCATCCTGGCTAACACGGTAAAACCCCATCTCTACTAAAAATACAAAAAATCAGCCCAGCGTGGTGGCGGGTGCCTGTAGTCCCAGCTACTCTGGAGGCTGAGGCAGGAGAATGGCGTGAACCCGGGAGGCGGAGCTTGCAGTGAGCCGAGATTGCGCCACCGCACTCCAGCCTGGGCGACAGAGACTCTGTCTCAAAAATAAATAAATAAATAAAACCAAATCTGGTTTTGGAGGTCAGGATAGTAGTAACTTTTAAGGAAGAGGAAGGTGGTGTTGGTTAGAAAGGGTCATAGAGTGGTATGGTGGGTTTCTGGGATGCTGGCCATTTTTCCCCCATTTTGTGACACAGATTGATTTCATGATAGTAATTTAAGATTTGTGCTAATGGTTTTTATGCTTTCTACAATATTGCACTAAATAAGTTTAAACATAGTATATAACAGTGACATGGATAATAAAAACAGAAGTTAACATTTTTATAAAAAGTGTTTGCTGTGTGTTACAGGTTTCATTCTGTGTGCCTGTTGGTGGTACCTCATTTAAACTTTGTAACAAGGAATAGGGTCAGTATAGTAATACCTCTGCTTCATAGATAGGGAAACGAAGGCTTTGAATAGTTAAGAAATTTCCCAGTCACAGCCTTAGTCTTTTACTGTTTATAAGAACTTTTTATATATTAAGGACCTCAATTCTTTTTATTTATATTCCTTCCCACCTTTTTCTTTTTAATGTGCAGATTTAAAAGCCCTCATTTCCCCCATTATTTGAATTTAGATTTTCAATTTTTTGCTTTTACAAATACCAGGATAAACATGGTTGACATCTTTATCCACATCATGGATTATTGCCTTAGTATAAGTTTCTAGAAGTTCTTTTTAAAAGCGAACAAGGTTGTTCTACAGAATTGAATTGAATGAATGTGTTTTTGACTATGAATGATAAAATGTTTAGAAAAGTTAGCCATCTTTCACCAGTTATACTATCCTTTTACTTATTTAAGAAATACTAATCATGTGGATTGGGAAAGTTAAGGACCTCACTGTAATGGACAGAGAAGAGAATCTAAAGTCTGAAAGCAATGCTAGGGGCAGTAGACTTTCCAGCTTCCGCAGGGGTGGAGGACTTGAAATTTGTATTTTGGAAAGGTCACTTTAGCCATGTTATTGAGGAGATCCAGAATTGCAAATAGAATAAAGACAGAGCTATTAGGAATCTTTTTGGTAATCTTAAGTGAGATATGTTGTGTGCAGATGAAAAGGTTGTGTTTGAGTGTTCTGTTAGGAGAGGGAATGAGCAAGATTGGGCAGCTGTTGGGGAAGAACTCTTAACATGACTCCCGAAGTGTTGATTCTGGTTGACTGGGTAGGAAATGGTGTCATTCCCTGTGGTGGAAAGTAGAGGTGGAACTTAACGTTTGGGGAGCTTTGTTCTCTTCGTTTTGCAGAGTCTGTGCCACATTCAGTTAGAGATGGTATTCTCCACAAGATGGGCACTGGTCCCATGAGCCTTTACTGCACATTGACTGTGCATTACTCTACAGTACTTGCAGATAACATTGGGCCATTTATTAATTGGCAGAGCTGTTCTGAGTACGTCGTATGTATTAAAGCACTAAACCTTCATAACAACCTTTTCAGGTAGGTATTATTATCATTATAAGGTATTAGGTATGCATGGTCACCAGGAGCACTGGGATCTCCAACCCCAGCAGCCTGGCTTGAGAGTCTGTGTCCTTCACTGTTGGACCACCATTATTGTGTGTCTTGAAAATGGTGGAAGTCCAAAGTATTTTGCCACTGAACTACATGGTCGGTTGTGTTGTGGCTGTTAACTGGTTCATTCAGGAGGACAGGCACAAGTATTTTGAATTTAGTCATTCTTGTTGACCAAGGTCTTAGGCTTTAGTCTGTGATTACAAATAGGTTGAATTTAAGAAAAATCTTTTTTAAAATCATTTTCTTAAAAATTGCCTTTTATTAGATACCAATACTTTTATGGACCAGAGTGTTAATTTTTCATTTCTGCCGCGGATATCATGATCATGGTTCATCCTACCCGTGGGATAATTATTGGCTCTTCTTTCTTTGTGGTGAGCTTGCCAGGTCTAGATTCTCTTAGGACTGTTTGAAAGGTGCAGAGGAATCCAACAACCTTGGGTTGAGAAGTTTAGTTCTGTGTTTTATGTTTGTTTTCCTGTTTCTATACCCAACCTTTGATTACCTGTGTCAGTGGAGAGCACCATAAAGTTTCACCTGGTTTGGGATGCTGGCGATGTTGTTTTCCATAAACCTGGCAGCAGGTGCAAAATAGCATCTCAGAAATATTCCTTTGAGTTGGTTTGTGAGGAGCTGGTCCATTGGAGAAGTCCCTCAATAATTAAAAGATTACTTATTTAACTTGTATTATGGTTCTTAATTGATGAAAATCTCATAGGTGAAAATGAGTCTTAAAGGTTGTTGCTCTTGCTTTACAAAAAGGTTTTCTGAAGATTTTCTCAATACAGGTTTATATTCATTTTAATCACTATTGATCTTTTATACCATTTACTACATAACTGTTGTGTTGAGTGACATATAGTGTTTATATTGAGACATATACTGTTTATAGTGAGAAAAGTTTTTTAATATTGAATATCCTAAAGTTCTTATTTAAAGAGCTATTAGATATATCAAATGATACAAACATTAGGATATGAATATTTCCTTTAAACTTCACTTATCTTCTTGTAGGAGGAGAGACTTCAGCATGCAAACCTTCATCTGTTCGGCTTGCACCGTCATTTTCATTCCATGCTGCTGGCCTTCAGATGGCTGGACAGATGCCCCATTCACACCCGTACAGTGACCGTCGCCAGCCAAGCATAAGTGACCAGCAGGTTTCTGCCTTAGCGTATTCTGACCAGATTCAACAACCTCTAACCAACCAGGTAAGTTCATGGAGTATCAGAAATGATGGTTGGAATGGCAGTTTATTCCTTGAAAATGTTGGAATACTAAATAGGCAAAATGCTTTAATGGTTTTCAATTTTACAAGTTTTACATGCAACATGGGATTATGGATTGAGAAAACGTGGTATTAAGAAGTTTGCATTAAAATGTGTATGGGTTTTTTTTTTGTTTGTTTGTTTTTGTTTTTGTTTTTTGCATTTTTACTTGTATTTCACTTAAACAGTCATAAACATGCCCACAGTCTCTCATTCTGTAATAGAGAGGGGGAAAGTTATTTCTGAAGAATATTAAAGGAACTTAAAGAAAAGGCTTATTTTTATGGAAAGGTGGCTAAGTTAAAGATGTTACAGGAAAGCAAGTCAGAGTCCATTACAGCAAACTTACAGAACCGAATTTGTGTTATTTTAAACTACCTTTCTACACATTTGTAAAAATAAATACAAAACTCCTTAAAATTCAAAAGAGATGTATGTAAATTAGCTGTGCTATTTATTCAATATTCAGACAGGCTATTCATTTTTCTATGAAGTGAATGGTGTAAATAGAATAAATGCTGAACTCTTTTGGTACACACACGCACATACACACATGCATATATATGTATGTGTGTGTATTTTTAATATCGTTCTAAATTAACTGCACCGTCTACATTGATTTTGGTTTGGGGAGACTTATTAGCTGTAGTTGTGAGATAAAGTTTCTTGCCCCGCTGATATTTGATGTGTGATGAGCACTGAAAATGGCTGCTTTTCCATGGACTTAGAAATTTGGTTTGCCGTTCTTTTGTTTAGTTCTTTTAATATATCGTGTGAGGATAAAAGAGTTGGGAGATTTAAAAGTATTTCTTTTCCTGGATTATTTGAAGGAATTGTATTTTCTCTAATTCAGTTATATATATGGTTTTAATGAAAAATTGGTTACAGCGACACATCATCTTTATTAAGGGGTGTCTTGTTTGTATTAAAATGTGTTTGTAATAAAATTTTGCTAGTAGTTAGGCTGGCATAGTGTTTATACGATATATAACACGTTAATAACATTCACAGTTAAATAGTTACAATAAGATGAATTTTGGCAGGACTTAAGATTTTCTTTTATGCAGTGAATTGATTGAGTTTAGTTGTGTGTTTGAGAATTGGGACAGTTGTTCAGGATGTCCAAGTTTAGGAAGTGTTTAATTGTGTACCAGAAGAAAACTTCCTGGAAATCTAATAATAATAACATGATGATCCATTTGCACTTTGAGGAAGCCAAGTTGATTCAGGTTAATTTTCCTGCTTGTTCCAAAGCAGCCTGTCAGGTAGAGTGCTGTTTTTAATGTGTTCCACAGCTGAAAGGACTGCGCTGCTATTTGTGACTTTTCCATGTGTGTGAGCAGGCTTCCTTCTTCTTAGATACAGTGCTATTTCAGGTCTAACCTCTGGTGTCTGCAGAGGGCTAGGAAACTTCCAGCCCTTTAAAGTCATTTTTATCATTATATTATTTTAGTAAATAATTTAATTAGCAAAGCACCTATTTTTATATCCAACTAACATCTTATGTGTATTTGGATCATATAAAATAAGAGATATTTTACTTACTATTTCTATTTTAAGCTGTGAAATACTTTTAAAGATTTATGTGATGTAAAAAGACTATATTTAAAGTAATAATACTCAGCCAAATATTTCTGCCAAAATCCAAAAATTTCTGGGCCTAATAAGGGAGTCATAGTAGAGAATACCTTTCCTGTAACTAAAGTGTAGGCTGTGTATTAAGCCTATTCATAGAACCTGGCTTCAAGGTCTTGGTCGGCTCATGGTTGACTTGGTCGGTTGTAGGATTTGAGTCAGGTCATATCTGTTCCTGGGGTGTAAAACTGGCACCTCCGACTAGAACTCCTCCACACATACAAAGTACCTTTTAGCTATAAACTTACTGTAATTTCATTATGTAATTTCCATTGTTTCTTGTTAATCATCCTACCAGATGTCTTTTAAAAGAGAAATAGAGCAAAAAGTAGGTGTAGAACAGGATGACTGATGTTTGGAATGCTGAGTTTCTGGGCTATTCTAGTTTTCACAATACCTTTCATAGTCCCTCATTTCTCCTAGTACCCTGGATATGTGTTACGGATGCTACTCAGCTTTATTAATGCTCTCAAAATAATAAAGGCAGAATACAGTGTTTCTGATTCTTCATTATATATGAAAACAGGAGGTAAATATAAATAAAATGAAATAAGTATTATAATGGAAAACAGTTTTCGAAAGGAGTCCTAGAGCTTATACTAAAGAATCTTTTCAGGAAAAAAGTTAATTATTGTTTTAGCTCTTATAACTGATCTAAGCAGGAGTTTTGTAATCTGGGTGAAGTAAAAGGAGCCAGAGATGTGAGCGTTGAGGGCATGCTGTTTCTAGCTTCCAGAGCCAGATAGCTGAGGCAGCAGCTAGTTGAGGAGGTCACATCAACTTCCCTTTTATTAGGTTATTCCCCTTGCTAAAGGGGTCATTCCTGCAGCTTGGTGAGTTCCTGGGTCCTCTGAACACCATGGGCTTACTTTTTGGTTTAGAAGGTAGAAGGGAGCTTGCTCTATTACTGTACATTGTCTTGACTTTGACTAGCCGAAGCAGGAAGTAGAGAAAGTGTCAGATGCTTAGTTCTGGCCTTGAGTCTTAGTATAGATGTAAAAGTAGGTATTTGGAAAAGCTACTTTCTAGTTCTGGATATGTACTGATGGCATCACAATGTTCCAAAACAAAAATTTGGTTAACATGAAATCACAATGAAAGCACAGGAGTATTACTTGCTTTGTAGACATTTATTTGTTCTTTCCATGTATTTTGAGCATCTCAATACAGGGTGTTGTTTGAAGCATGAAATACAGACAACTTGGCCTTGTAGGCAGAGTTTGACCGGTTGTAGAAAAGGTTAGCAATGTTTTGTGAAATGCTAAGCACACAGCACACACTCATATGGAGTGCAGAAATTTGATCATGTAACTCATGTTTATATTCTGTTTTGTATATGTACTATATGTTTAAAATTGTTTTTTTAATTGTGTGTGATTTTGGTGTTTTTAAGTGAGCATCATTACTCCTGGATGTAGTCACTGATTCTTTTTTCAGATGTTTGAAAAACCAGTGGAATTGTAAATTGGCAAGTTAAAAACTTAAAGACATTCACAGTTTTCTTATGTAACTAATTTTAATAAATGTATGTGTTTATTTTAGGCATACCTCAATTACTTTGCCCAACAAATAGCCTAAAAATGATTGCTAAGAGGGTAGACTAGAGCCGTAACATTGATAGGGAGCTCCTGGCAAGAGTGTCCTTGTTACGAGTCTGGAGTTAGGCCTGGACATCTTCAGCTATAATATTACAGGAACTGCACTATGATAATATTTCAGACCACACGGATGGTGATTTTCCTGTTCTTTAACTGGCTCTGGGACCTTGGTCAAGTTCTTTAACATTGGAGACTCTGGTTTCTCTTGTGTAAAATGGTCACAGGAATGCTATTTAACTCCCTTGAGATTGTTGAGGGGATTACATGGGAGACTTGTAAAAATATGCATGCTAAAAACATGTTCAGTAAACACCTGCTAGTGTTACTGTTACTTTATTGTTAAGTTATTCGGTTGACCCTACCAATGGCTTATACTTCCTATCAAGTTTTATTACAGCTGTAATATGAAGCATTGCACTGATTCAGATTTTGTGAAACCTCACATTTAGTCTGTACTCCACCAGCCCAAGAAAGGGGATTACTGAATAAACTAGCTGCATGAAAACAATGCTGGGAACTTAAAAAAGGAAACACATTTAAGGGAAACCTTTCATCACCCTAAATGCTTACAGCATTCATTCACAAAAAAACTAACATGTTTATTACCCATATTAATTTATGCATTAAGTCCTTAAGGAATAGTATAAAAATATTCTGTGAACTTAGCATTACCTACTGTTTAGAAAAGTAAGACTATATATTTGAAAAATTAAATAAGTTACATCATCTTAATTCTGATGATTTTTGTCAGACAAATAGTTATAATCACCAAGGGTTCCCCCCCTCCCTCAGCCTTATTTGGAATTTTAAGAAGCAGAGGTCTTTGAGAAGAGGCTCTGTTATTTCAGTAAATGGGTGAATCTGCCCTCTGGGTAACAACTGTTTAGAGTTTGAGTATACATGCAGAAGAAACCAGTGTTAATGTTGGTTCATGATAAAGCGCACGTAGGTAAATGCCATAACAGTTTTATCTTTTCAGACCACATGGATGGTGATGCTTCCTGTTCTGCCCACTGGTACAACCCTCCCCTCTTCTCTTTTTTGGTGTAGGTTAGGTTAACAAGTATACCATGACTCCACACATTTTTGTGAGGTCTTAGTATGATGTGTTTACTGTCACTCTGCCCCTCAGATTGACCCGAGTGTCCTTGGAGAGATGTTGTGTCAGGGTCTTCTGGCTCATTTCCCAGCACAAATGTCCAGAAGAGTTGGGCAGGAACACAAGGATGGGCCAGGGGGAATGGCTGTGACCACCTTGATGGAAATAATTGGTTTTGAGGATCTGTTGATTTCAAGAACCCCCATTGGGAACCCTTTGACTGAGGCATGACACTTGCTGGAGCAGTGGCACTGGGACAGCAACCCAGGATCATTGACGCTAGCCGCAGCACTCCTGGGTGTGTGTATAGAGGGGGTGCATGCCCCTGCTCTGTCCTCTGTTGTAATGGCTGTGGTGCAACCCCTCATTGCCTGTCAGAAGTGTTGAGAGCCATGAGTTGGGATCAGGGAACGGGGGGACTGTGAGGGCAAGTCTTGGTTAGGGGCAGATGTTTGTCAGAGGGCAGCTGAGTCTGGTGGCATTAGGAGCTGAATTTCTTGTTAGGAGCAGTTGGAGGGAATGGGGCTCTGCTGCCAGCCTCCTTTTTTGGTGCCAGCTGTGTCCTGAAATTCTATGTTAAGGAAGCTGAAAGTTGCCTCTGAGGGCTGGGTTTATCTTTGTTGGCTAGTTGTGAACCTGGTCAGGTTTTAGGAATAATTCAGAAAAAAATTTTCTTTGGGCTAATTGTGTGGTAGAGAAGCCCTCATGGGCAGCATCCTGTGGGTCTCCTAGATTGGGGTATGTCTGCATTTCCACCACTTTAAATTTGGCGGAATAGGATCAAAGCCTCAGGCAGCTGGGCATATTATCTTCTAATTTCATTTGTTTGTTCTAGTGGTTGTCTTTATTGGAATCCACATAAAAGGGAACTTGGAGAGAGAATGTATAATCATCTAATGTAGATGTCTTTTAAAAAGTAGATACATGCAGGTTACAGAAGAGGGAATTTGTATCAGTGCAGTATAGTTAAAGTGCTAGTCTTTTCTGTCTATTTAAGGTGATGCCTGATATTGTCATGTTACAGAGGCGGATGCCCCAAACCTTCCGTGACCCAGCAACTGCTCCCCTGAGAAAACTTTCTGTTGACTTGATCAAAACATACAAGCATATTAATGAGGTAAGACTTGATTTGTTATAATAACATCTATCTTGCAATACATCAGTGAGAAAAAAAGCGATTTTGTGACCTATCTACCCTAAACTTTTTTCATTCCTAGTAATTGTCATATTGATGATTATTATGAAGACTAATGATTTAGAAATAATATAATTACAACTATGTAAAATATATATTAACAAGGACTGCAAAGTATAAAGATAATTGTGTATAACTTGATTTTTAAAGGTTGTATTTAATATATTTTTTTAAATTTTTATTTGTTTCTCTTTTTTATTTCATTTGAGTTACTTCTATAATAACTCTTATTCAAAACAAGGGGAATAAGGACTCTAAAAGTATATATGTGTTAGAATTTTTGCTTGAATTTTTATATATTTGTTTCTACTTTTGCCATGGGTGTCAGAAAGCTCTGAAATATGTTTAATACCTAGTTACAGGCATTTGGCCTATGGCCTAGTGTATTTGATCTATCTATATTTCTGTGATTTTATTGTCTTTTAAATTTTTATGTGTGTTCTTTTATCTATGTCTTTTTATGATAAGATGTCCAGAAGCCTTTTTGTTGTAAGTAAATAAGATAAAAAACAGACACAGCACTTTAAATTGCTTGCCTTACAACTTGGTGTTTTGCCACCAAAATTTTTTCTGGTGTCTTGGACCATTGGCTTGATTGCCATTTGCTTGTGGCTTCAACTCTGTCTCCAAAGTTATTGTTAAAGGAACATTTCTGGAGAAGAACCCATGCTTGCTTTCTTCTTCCAGTGGGAGCCCTGCACCCTTTCGTGTTGAAGGCTTGTCCTTTGCCAGCTTTAGAGCTGCTTAGCTGAAAAGTGAAAAGATGTTCTTAGGTACATGCAAATTTTATAGCAACTTAATGTTATTTAATGCCAGTATTACTACATTACAGTGGCAGTGCGGCAACATAAAATTAGAATGAACTCTGTGAGAAACATTTCTGAGTTAGATTTTGTACACATTTATGTATTATAAACATGTTCCAGACTAGCTTGTGATTATCTGAATATATCTGATAAACTGTTGATAACAGTATATTAATTTAAATTTGTTATTTTCTGATAAATTGTTAAAGCTACAGTTAAACTGTTGTTAACAGTAGCTTTGTTGGAGCTTGTTTTAATATGTCTTACCACCTTATAAAGTAGACTTTTTCAGATGTTACTCCATGCAGTGTAATTTATAATTTCGCCAAACTTAGTTTACCAGTTACCTGGACTATTTCCTAGTTCATCTGTTATTTTTTTTACTAGTCTTAGAAACAGTGTTAAAGAAAATAACTCAGCCTGTGATAACCATAGGCTTATGGTCTTTGGGAGTGGGGGCAAAGGGGCCATAGCTGTTTTTCATTAATCGTTATATTTTTATAGGTTTAAAAACTGGGCATGTCTCAGAGGGCCTATTTATTTTAGTAAAACATCAGTTTGCTTACATTTAAAATTATTCTAAAAATACGTGGCCATAAAATCAAATACAAATAAATACATGCAAGTTACAGAAGAGGGAATTTATATCCCAAATGTTAAGTTGGGATTGACTGGAAGAGGGCATGAGAGAACTTGAACTTGAGGTAGATGAAAGTGTTACTTGGCTGTTACTTGGCTGTTTGGCATTTGGTAACTTTTGTCAAAATTCCTCATGTTGAACTCTTAAGATCCGTGCCACCTCACTGTATATAAATTATACTTTAACAAATAAATATAAACTAGGTCCTTTTACTTTTCTTGAATGGCATACTTTGGACAAGTCACGTAACATTTTTTATTTACAAAGTCTATAAACAGTGTAACTACAATGAATTTCACTGTAGACATTTTTTTGTTGGTTATATCAGTGTTATTTTCTAACTCAAATGTCAACTGTAGAAAATAGATGTGTCTCAATATACACTGATAATTCCCTTCCCCTCACAGTGATTTAAATTTTACAGTTAACACTATGTATTCTCATTTCAGGTTTACTATGCAAAAAAGAAGCGAAGACACCAACAGGGTCAGGGAGACGATTCTAGTCATAAGAAGGAACGGAAGGTTTACAATGATGGTTATGATGATGATAACTATGATTATATTGTAAAAAACGGAGAAAAGTGGATGGATCGTTACGAAATCGACTCCTTGATAGGCAAAGGTTCCTTTGGACAGGTAATTTAATGGAAAATTCTGAATTTCGTTAATTAGAAAGAACTTCTTAGTGAATCTTTTTGTTACAGCCCTTCCTCAAGTATACTTTTAATATTTGCAAATAGAGCTCAGCAGTGGATATGCAAGTATTTGGATGACCATAATTCTTTAAAGGTAGTGATACTGCATCAGTAATAAAAACTCCTTAGACTTCTAAAAACTTCTGTGGCTACCAAGTACTCATTTTACTAATGACTGGTAAATTTAAATCACTAATAGATAGTATTGCCTTTTTGTTAGGGGTCTTGTATAGTCTGTAGATGATTGTTAATTACCTGTGCTAGAGATATTTACCTTCTTCTCTGATAGACCACTTCAAAGAGAAAAGACTTACCATGTTCAGGTGGCACAGTGGGAGTCCACTCACTTTTCAGGAGGCTTTGGAAAGCTGGGGGTTGTTCTCTGGCTTTTTCTCCCACCTCATGTTGTAACTATACCAGACCTCTAAGCAGGCAGGCAGTTTTAGTCTCTTGTATCAGTCTCACCAATACCAAGAGTTTTTGGTCTTTCTCCTTATACTTTATTTATTTATTTAGAGACAGACTCTCTTATCACCCAGGCTGGAGTGCAGTGGTGCACTCTCGACTCAGTGCAACTTCCGTTTCCCAGGTTCAAATGATTCTCCTGCATCAGCCTCCGAAGTAGCTGGGATTACAGGTGTGTGCCACCGTGCCTGGCTAATTTTTGTATTTTTAGTAGAGGCAGGGTTTCACCACGTTGACCAGGCTGGTCTCGAACTCCTGACCTCAGGTAATCCACTTGCCTTGGCCTCCCAAAGTACTGGGATATCAGGCGTGAGCCACATGCCTAGCCTTCTTGTACTTTTAAAAAGATTTTTTCGGGTCAGGTGTGGTGACTCACACCTATAATCCCAGTACTTTGGGAAGCTGAAGCAGAAGGATCACCTGAGCCTAGGAGTTCCAGACCAGCCTGGGCAATATAGCGAGACCTTGTCTCTATTTATTTTTAAAAAAAAAAAAAATGTTGGGGGATCTCTGGCTGTGATCCCCCAGCTGTTCCCAGTTGTAAGTCCTTCTATCACATTGAGTCACAGAACTCTGTTTTGTTTGAGGTGTGATTTGCCGATAGTCCCAGTCTCTTCTGCCTTGCAACCCTTGTGGAACGAGATGGTTATTAACCTGCAGTCCAAATACATCTTCTGATTTTTCAGTGATGAGCATAGAATGAGAATCAAAATGACTTTTTCTGAATTGCCTTTTGTTGTTTTTTTTTGTTTTGTTTTCTTAAACTATGGAACCTGCATGTGCTTACTTCTCTGTTCCTGCCCTGAGAGAAAGCAAAATATATGCTCCTTTTTAACCTGTGAGGAAAAAGTCATCATGATTAAAACAGAAAATATACTGTATGTCATTAGCAGCCACAGGTCTAAATCCAGAAAAATAAACGTGTAAGCAAATATGAACATTTTTGTTAGACCTGTGTCACTCCAATGTGGCCCTATCAGTCCCTGATGTCACGTGTATATGTCTTCTTCCCATGGTTTGAAAGAATTTTGGTAACTACACATAATCCAGGGACTTTTTCCTTGAATTATAACCTCTTTTTCTTCTGAGGGGTTTTTCAGTGGTTTGGGAGTGCTCTTTTTTTTTTTTTTTTTTGAGACAGGGTCTCACTATATCACCTTGGCGGAAGCACAGTGGAGTAGTGATCATGGTTCACTGCCTCGACCTCCTGGGCTCAAGTGATCCTCCTACTTCAGCCTCTAGAGTAGCTGGGACTACGGCACGTGCCACCATGCCTGGTTAATTTGTTGTTTTTTGTGGAGGCGGGATCTCACTGTGTTGCCCAGGCTGGTCTTGAACTTGTGGGCTCAAGCAGTCCTCCCATCTCAGCTTCCCACAGTTCTGGGATTATAGGCCTGAGCCACCACACATGGCCTGGGAGTCCCTCTTGATTAAGGTATTCCTGTTTGTCAGTACGAAGCAGCTTCTCTGTCAGTCTCTTAAGGAAAGGCATTTGTCAGGCCCGGTCCTTAACTAATGGTGTGAACACCCTCTACTGGTTCCCAACTCGGCTACACAGCAGGAGGGAAGCAGTGGGCCAGCAAACGTTACCGCCTGAGCTCCACCCTCTCAGATCAGCAGCGTTAGATTCTCAATGGAGCTCAAACCCTATTGTGAACTGTGCATGCGAGCGATCTAGATTGCATACTCCTTATGAAAATCTAATGCCTAATGATCTGAGGTGGAACAGTTTGATCACCAGACCATCCACCTCAGCCCTACCTTGGCCATGAAAAAATTGTTTTCCACAAAACTGGTCCCTGATGCCCATAAGGTTGTGGACTGCTGCTCTAGACCTAGACATTGCTACCTCTGCCATGACAACTTCACTAACATTTGGGCAGTTGCACTTAAGAGGTCACTTTTTTTTTTTATTTTTTATTTTTTGAGATGGAGTTTTCCTTTTGTCGTCCAGGCTGGAGTGTAATGGTGCGATCTTGGCTCACTGCAACCTCCGCCTTCTGGGTTCAAGTGATTCTCCTGCCTCAGCCTCTTGTGTAGCTGGAATTGCAGGTGCCCCCTACCACGCCTGGCTAATTTTTGTATTTTTAGTAGAGATGGGATTTCACCAGTGTTGGCCAGGCCGGTCTCAAACTCCTGACCTCAGGTGATCCATCCGCCTTGGCCTCCCAAAGTGTTGGGATTACAGGCATGAGCCATTGCACTGGGCCTAATAGGTTACTTTCTAACTTTCCTGACATCTACCATGCAAATTGTGGCCATACAGGCTGCTCTCTAAGCTGATTTGCCCCTGATGATTCAGTCTTTGTGCTCATAGTTACGTTTTTCTTCTCCCCTTCACCTTAGTTTTTCTCACACTCAGATTCCACAGAAGAAGTGAGCACAGAACTCTGTGATGACAGAGGCCCGTTTGACATTGAACTCCTTTTTCCCAGGGCAGACTGATACTGCCCAAACTCTTGGGCTGAGGAGTTGTGCAGTGTCCACGTTGAAGTTCAGGTCCTGTCCCTCAGCAGAGTAATATCTTCTGTATAGACTTGGTCAGACTTTCTCCATGTTCTGTGTCAGGTTATTGTCAAATAAGGGATATCTCCATTTCCGTAGCCAATACTTATCAATCCTGATTGCGTATTTAAATTTCTTGGGGAGCTTACCTGAAAAATTACTGATGTCTGGGCTCTAGACCAGTTAAATTCTCTAGTCATTGATGTAAAAGAAAAAAAACAAGAACACCTTATTGAATTTGTAATTCATGGTCAAAAACTGTCAGTTAACCCGTTAACTGTTTGGCAAGTCAGTAGATCCTCAGGCCCCCATGAGTGTCCTTTGTCGTGCAGCTCATCAGAATCTGGGCACTGAACAGCAACTCTTAGTGCAGTCAGAACATCCAGTGAAACAGAAGCATATCAGAACCACTTAGCCACATGTTTACAAGGGTAGCCTCTATTATAAAAGACCACAGATAGTGTCTTTTAGAATTAAGTGAAACCGGATATTAGTGCATTTTTTATTCCAAGTTTGATTTCGGTTGAGCCACTCAGAATCTGTCACAGTAGATTTAGCCTTGACTGATGAAGATCTGAGAACATACGTTCCATCCTCTGCCTGACCTTATGATTTCATCCTACACCTTGGAATCATTTGGAGTTTCTTCCCCATCCCCAGACTTTTTGAATGTGCTAGAAAATGTATCTAAAAGAATTACTTTTTCAGACAATGTATAATATAAATGTAACTTCTATTTTATTAGTTGTAATGATTGTCAGTGGTTAATAAGAGGTAATGTTTTCTTTTACTTATATATTGATTTTGTAATGTTTATGTAAATCTTTTATAGTAGTATGCACCTCATTTTAGATGAGTCACATTTCAGGTGAGAGGCACGCATGGTGATGTGTGCTCATGAACTCTGTGGTTTCCTTAGCAGTGATTCTCATTTTAAAACTATCATAATCCCCCAATTACAGCATTTGTTGCATTGTGGAACTTTATTGGTAATTTGTGTTTGATTTTTTTTTTTTAAGTTGAAACTGATTTTTCTTTTATATACTTATGTTTTTATGTATGAAAATCTAATTGAAAGTTAGAAAGTTATCTGAAGCCTTCTGCAGATAAACTTTAAAATATTTCATACGTATTCTTAGGGTTCAGGTTTCTCTCATTAAAAGAATAGTTTGGTGAGTTAAACACTATAAAACTATAGTGTTATTTAGTAAGAAAGATAAAACCTAAGCAGTTGTCAAGATTCATAATTTATTTCTGAAGGAGGAAAATAGTTAATCTAATTTTATTAAGAAAATTATCTGTTTTGTGGATATTTAGAAATACTGTACAAATGCAAAAAAATTCAATTTAAAGGATTGATTTAAAGTTACTGTGTGATAAATAGATATATATCGAATAGAAATAGACAGGATCTCTTCTACTTAGGGAGGTCAGAAAAATGATAATTATAAAAATGTATAATTGAGAATTAGGTAAATGTTATAATTAAGGTGAATTATAAATATTGTGAAATTGTTGCAATTAATGAAATAGAGAATCATCTTCTCTTTTAGGTTGTAAAGGCATATGATCGTGTGGAGCAAGAATGGGTTGCCATTAAAATAATAAAGAACAAGAAGGCTTTTCTGAATCAAGCACAGATAGAAGTGCGACTTCTTGAGCTCATGAACAAACATGACACTGAAATGAAATACTACATAGGTAAACAAACAGGCAAACAGTGCAGTGTGCCCCAACCCAGACCAAAACATTGAGTTAATGGTTCTTTTTTATCAAAATATTTTGATTTTATTTTAAAGTGGTTGATTAAAAATTTGTTTTTTTCTGTTGGACAGGAAGATTTATATAAGTGACTTGATTGGTAGTAATAGTCTAAGTCTTGGGGAATGTGCCTTCCAGGTAGCGTACCATGTAGAAGAAAATGAGAGTAGTGTGTGTTTTTTTATTTGCAGCTTACTGGTACCATTTGTTTCCTAATGATGCATATTTATCCATAGGGTCATCTTTCCAGTAACTTTAACCATTTCTAATCTAGCTCAGAAGCTAGTTGTGAGCTAGTATGTTGTTAGTGGTTGCGGAACCATTTTTGGGGCATCTGCAGCAAGATCTCAGGCTCCTCTCCAGTCTCCTCATCAGCTTGGCGGCATTAGAAGCTATTAGACTTACGACTACAGAGAAGAGATAATAGCCACTGCTTATTGAATTTCCACCACATTCCTTATGCTTTCCTTCCATCATCTGTAATAATTTATAGCAGTCTTTTAAGGAAGATGGTAGAGTCCTTAAATTACAGGTGGTTTGTATAAGAAGCCGCATACCCAGGGTCATAGGGCTCTGCAGCTAGGATCGGAAACTACAGTACTTCTGCCTCACTCCAAAGTCTGTTTCATTCTCGCATAGTCTTCCTTCTGAAAACAGAAACAGGAGACAGAAGAATTATGAAAATACTGAAGTCTAGGGCCAATTGATACATGGACAAGACATCTTCTAATACACTTTCTTTCATAGTATTTTTAATCAAATCTAGTATGTTAGTGATTGTAAGACACCATCATTTCATGTACCATCAAGGAAAAACCTGTTAAGTATTCATATAAGATGCCATCAATCAAAGATACAGACCTTAAGATCAGCACAGATCCATAGTCACTTGTGTTCAGAAATGCTGACCTTACTTGATACACGTAAGGCTGAGTTTTATTTAAGGCTGAGTTCTATTTAACAGATTCTTTTAAGAAAACATTATGGTTCTTTGGTCCCCCCTTAAAAAGGTAGAAACAAATAATGGATGTTTAAAAAGGGAAAGCTTCAGATTGTTTAGATTAGATTTTGTTTGTGAAATACCTCTCATTCCTCATTGTTAAAATATAAAATGAGTTTGTATTAATTTTTCTTAGTTTATGGATACTGATATAATTCATAATAATACCATTCTTACCTTAAAATCTTTCTTGTCACACTCAATGAAACTTTGCTGTTCACTGTCAGTTACAACTTACATGAGGTGACCCATTTTCATTCAAAGGTTTTAGAAGCACATCAAGGACATTCTAAGGATGATTGACTTACACAGTGATTTCTAAACATGCCTCCTGCCTTCTCCTCATGCTTGAGTATTTGCTTATGGAGCAGAAAAAATATTGATAGCATTACTGTAACATTTTAATTCTGCTTTATTTAAAGAAGACATAGCTGGCATATAGTTAAATACTCAAAAAATATTAGCTACTCAGTTACGTATAATGCTAGTATTTTGTTTTGAATAAAGTGACATTAATGATCATTTTATTAATTGTATTAGTTATTACAGATACTCTTTGGATGAGTTTTTAAATTCTTATTTTAGAAGATGGTGAATGCATAATGTCTCAAGAAACTGAGATTCTGTTTGGAAAACAAAAGCACTTTAGACGAGTTCATGTCAATTGAATTGATACCTTAAACTTAAGGTATCTGAAAGTCATATTTTGTGATGTAAATTAATTTAAAAAGATTGATGAGTGTGATTTATTCTGATGAGTTTTATCATCTTGTCTTTGAACTTTCAAAAACATCTACTACTTTACCATGTAGCCAAATTTCTTATCTGGATTATTTGGTACCTGCCATCATGGTCTAGTTAAAATTCAGTTTAAGTCTACAACAAAGTCTTGCCAAGCCCTCCATTCTCCCCAAAATTCAGTTAAAAAGACTGAGCAGATACGCTTGTTTGATTTTTCTTTGACAATGTCAGCACATTGTAGATACTAAGTAAATGAATAAAGAATTGTGAGGTCAGGTGAAACTGAGTAGGTTGATCTTTCATTGGACGAACATTCTAATCACAGAGCTTCTTAAAGGAATTTTTATAATCACATTAGAATTCTGACACAGTTACTTTTTGCATTCATTTTGTGGCTCCTGCTTAACCAGGAGATTAAAAGCTACACATAGACCATGATTGTGAGCATGTATCATGGAACTACATTTTTAGTTTTAAACCTATAAACTGAAGTGACTAAGAACAGGTATTTTACATTCTTAGGTAACGTTTAAGGATTCCTTTGTTGTTTTTAGTATCGAGTTGTGCTGTAGACTCCTCTATAGTCATGTAGTTATTTTTATTGTGTTACTTATTCTAACTTTAGATCACCTATATCATGAAAGATCTAAAAGCAGTATTGATGGCCACTGCTTTGAGGCAGGCAGCCCAGGACTACTCCCAGGAAAACACAATGTATCCACAGTTCTCAGTGATCAGACATTGATTGCTCTCCAGTTTATTCCAGATAGATCTGTAGAGAAACCTCTCATTTTGTAATAGTGTAAAAGAAAATGAAAGTAACCTTGACAGATGGGTAGTTTATGTCATTGCAGTTGTGTCACAGGTGCTCAGTTTGGTGTATGTAAGACTGTTAACAGGGAGGGACAGCACTTTATCGAATAACCTCATCTGATGTGAAGTCAGTGTTAATACTTAAAGCACAATCTTTGAAGCAATTTAGTGAGTATTCAGCCTTTTTAGAGGGTAGCAGTGATAGCGACCTATGTGTTCTATGCTGTTGCCCCACTTAGAAGCCTCCTCATCATCTCTTCTTGGAGCTGAACTTTGTTTTGAAGTTTTCCAAACCTTCAGTCTCACACACGAGCTGTCATTTACTAATTTGAAAAACACAGTTAAGTCCTCCAATACTTTTACCAAAGCATGATTTTCAAACATTTGTTGTATTTGCCTAAAGGTTAAAAAAAAAAAAAAAAAAGCCATCAATGAAAATTGTGACAGAAAATTACCAGTGAAATGTGAAGTTCTGCAGCGCAGATAAATTTCAGAGCCTACACAGAGGGCTGCCAAGTACAGCATTGTCACAAACCAGAGATCCCAGTAGGTGGAGCTTAGACATAGGAAGTTGTGAGGTAGGGCTCTCAGGAAGTAAAAAGTGCTTTCATTTATCAATGAAGATAAAAATTGCTGAAATATTCTTACTACTGTTTGTCCATTTGCTGCTTGTGTTTTCAGATCTGACTTTTAAAGAAACAAGGCATTTTGGTAGTACTGCTTACCTTATATCACTTATTGACAAACGCTGTACCTGTTTAATTCAGCAGAAGAGCAACTTAGATATTCTTAACTGATTAAAAACTGCTGTTACTACAAAATGCTGATCTCCAAACTTTAACTGAACTCTGCATTTGATGTTGTAATAATGTTATAGATCATTTGAGAGTGCATGTGTTTGTTACTCTCATTTATTGGTATATGTAATTTAAAATGAAACTTTTCTCTTTCAGTGCATTTGAAACGTCACTTTATGTTTCGAAACCATCTCTGTTTAGTTTTTGAAATGCTCTCCTACAATCTCTATGACTTGCTGAGAAACACCAATTTCCGAGGGGTCTCTTTGAACCTCACACGAAAGTTTGCACAACAGATGTGCACTGCACTGCTTTTCCTTGCGACTCCAGAACTTAGTATCATTCACTGTGATCTAAAACCTGAAAATATCCTTCTTTGTAACCCCAAACGCAGTGCAATCAAGATTGTTGACTTTGGCAGTTCTTGTCAGTTGGGGCAGAGGGTAAGTATTATTTCAGAACTTGTGAATTAAATAGGAATTAAATAGAAGTAGGACAGCGTAGGTGTTAGGTTGGCACAAAAGTAATTGCGGTTTTTGCCATTGCAGTTGCCATTTTTGCAATGGCAAAATCACAATTTCTTTTGCGCCAACCTAATATTCGAAATGTTACTAAGGTGTATACCATTTAGAGGCAATTACTGGATGGTTATTTAGCTTTAAAATGTAGCACTTACTTAACGTGTGGATATCTGTTTGGGGAAATACCTTTTAAAATGCAAATAGCAATACTTTGAGTCAAAAGACATTAATTTTTTGAAATGGGTATATTTAAAATTGTATGTATGCTAAAAGATTAAGGGAGAGAATAGGAGATGGAATGATTAAATATTAGGGGATTTGTAACTGTATTTCTCAAGTAAAGGTTTTAGTATAAATTTTGGGACTTTTCAGTACTAGAACATTGAATCTTTGCTGTAAAATTCTTCTCTGAAGATGGATCAAGATAAATCATTTTTCTAAAAAACTGATGGTTCAGAAAAATGCAGGTAATTTTGCCTTAGTCATGGTACTAAAGTATAGAAAATTCAGTTGATAGACGCACTTGTTTTGATAGATAAGTTTGTCTTCTTTTCCCCACTCTTATTTAAAATTTACTTAAGTTCTGACACATACCCAAGCTGGTTTTTTTGAGACTGCTAAAAACAGATGTGTTCGTAGTGCTGAAAAGTTTAGCTGATTTAGGAAAGCAGTTTTTTCCTGTCATTCTTCCGGCATTATGAAAACTACTCTAACGACATTGTTTTATATGTAAAATAGAAGTTATAGGGGTCTCCTCTTGAAAGGAATTAGTGTCACCATTTGATAATATTTTACTCATTTTTAACACCATTCTTTTTGCTTTTAAGTATTGAAACTATATTTCTTCTGTTTTAAAGAAACCCAACTAACATACAGATGTTAATTTTTCATACTGACTTTTCTGTTTTATTTTTCCAAATTAGTGAAATTTTCTGTCCTGTCCACTTTTGTCCAGGCTTTAACTATAACAGATTAATCATAAGGATTTATAGCCAGTTAATAGGACTGTCTTTTTGTTATTTTCTGCAACTTCTCTTATGGAAGTGATGCTATCGAGTGTTGAAGTAATTTTTAAAAATTGGAGTAGGGACCAAAGTTTGCAGTTTTAGATGCCTTCAAAAAATCAAGAGATGCTCATAGTTTATGTGGGATAGAGTGTATTGTGAATGAAAAATACATGCCCATCTTGAAGAGTAATTTGAATGGATTATAGAGGTGGGAAGTTTTTCCCCTATTTAAGCCAAATTATATATTTTGTCCTAATATTAAACATTATTATTTCTGTCTAGCCAAAATAAGCCAATTATCCCTATAATAAGTTTTTAATTATTCAAGTTCATTGGCATCACACGGGAAGTTATTTCTAAAATAGACCTGCCATGTCCCTGCCCCTAGATCTACTGGATTAGAATCAGAAGGTGGTAGGGCAAGTGTGTTTTGGGGAAAGTAACTGCTTTAAACAAATTAGATAGGGAGGTGACAAAGTTCCTGACATAAGCTGTGAAATAAAAGTCTCAGGAGTGGTGTTTGGGCCTAGGGAATTAACAGTGGTATTGGCTTATAAAAACCTTGGAAATGCAGTACTTCTTCCCAGTTCTTTTAAATTAGACTTTCTTCTCATAGTTCCTTAAGGTTGGTTGACCTGTCTATGGAGGCCTGAGATTGTTCTTGAAGACTTGGCTGGAGGTTTCAGTGGGAATCACAGAAAATTTCATGAGCTTTCTGGCTGCATGGTTTGGGTGTTAAGTTAGGAAATTTAATTAGGAGGATTTTCTTTCTTTCCCCCTTTTAATAAGTGAAACAAATTGGTCTTTGAAGAGATCCTCACATTACTTCATTGAAAATAGTCCATGTCAGGATTGTGTTTCTGTAAGAAGTCTTGGATGGAGGTAGAGAGAGAAGAGAGAAGAAGCTATTGATCAGAGACAGCTCTCAATTGAATCTTTATGTCGTAGTGTTTCTGGGATTTATCTGTGAGACAGCAAGAGTACAAGTGTCTGAATTTTAAATTACATTATATTGAAGTTACTTGACTTTTAACGCTGAGAAATACATTGTTTAGGTTAATTTAAATACAATTTAGTTGTTAAGATAGTGGTAAACTAAGTGCCAGCCATAGTAGGAAGAAATAATTATTAGGGAAATAAATTACTTTCAATAGTGTTTTTTTTTTTTTTTTCTAGTGAGGCATAATTGTTTTAAGAAATATCATGATGACTAGGTAGGATTAGACTAAATGAAAGGGCTTGAATCTTTACGTATGACGCATTTCACAATCAGATTAACCAGTCCCTAGAAATGTTTAGTTCTTTAAGCCATATTCATAGTCTAATGTTGAAATTAGTCAGTGGAACCCTAATTCAGGAGTTAGCCAATTCTTTTCTGTTAATATCACGTCAGCGTTTTTAATCCAATGCTGACTGCAGTTTTGAGCAATTGAAGTAATACTGTTTTGAAATATATTTCAGATATACCAGTATATTCAGAGTCGCTTTTATCGGTCTCCGGAGGTGCTACTGGGAATGCCTTATGACCTTGCCATTGATATGTGGTCCCTCGGGTGTATTTTGGTTGAAATGCACACTGGAGAACCTCTGTTCAGTGGTGCCAATGAGGTAAATGATGTATTGCTGTACAAATTCTGTTTTCATAATTTCCTTTTGTCTTTCATCTGTGACAGTGTAATTTAAAAGTTGTGTTTAGGCAAAGATGTCTATTTAATCATTCAAATGTGAGGTCAGTTTGAATATACCTATTTTTTCATATTTGTCAGTTGTCATATAATGTAAAGTTTAGAATTATGAGATAGGAGTAGGATATTTTAATCTACTCATGAAGGAGAACAGTTAATTAGATTAGAAAGTGTTAAGTATTTTGGCATACATTTTACAGGTTTTAAATACAGTAACAGAAAGCTTAAAAGATGATAAGGAATGACGGCCTTCCTGCAGAGATACAAAACATCTAAATTTTGAGATTATGATTTGGAGTTGAAGAGGTAATGATCAGTAGGACTGATGGATACTCAGTCTGAATAATGTAGAGTAAACTAGATTATAGAATTGTCGGGCTACAGAGACTGTGTGCAATTCTGTATTCCACAGGTTTTCAGTCTGTGTTCTGGAATATTTTTGAAGGTCAGAGGCAGTGAATGGGAGGGCGGGGACAGGCCACAACTCCCTGCAGTCAGAGAAATCGGGCTTTCATTGTTTTAAAAACTATTCACCTGTGGGGTTTTGTTTGTTTGTTTTTTAAAAGAAAAAATGGACCATTGCAGATCTTGATCAGTCTATTTCTAAGTGAGAAGAGAAAGGCCAAAGGCATTAATGACTTGTACCGGATTATGCAGCTGTTAATAGGTGGTGTCAGAAACTTGTCTCTTCCATCCTTCTTTTAAATTTTTTTTTTTTTTGAGATGGAGTCTTGCTGTGTTGCCCAGGCTGGAGTATAGTGGCACAATCTTGTCTCCCGAGTAACTGGAATTAACAGGCAGCGCCACCATGCCTGGCTAATTTTTGTATTTTTACTAGAAATGATGTTTCACCATGAGAGCAGCTCCTGCCCTGACCTGAAGTGGTCTGCCCGCTTCAGCCTCCCAAAGTGCTGAGATTACAGGCGTGAGCCACTGTGCCCAGCCCCTTTTAATTCATTTCAGCTTGAACTGGTGAGCTACTCTTTGATAGTAACTGCTATAGTTTGTTTTTGTTTTAGTATAAATCTTACTTTGTAAATTAGTATCTTTCTTGGGCTTAAACAATATTTGAAAAACTTTGCTATGTTACTCATTTTAAAGGCCGAGGTCCTTTGAGTAGCCCACAGATTCCTGCTCCCTCTGATGCCAGTTCTCTCACCACTACCTGGTCTCTCCTTCTTCCCTCACTCTGTGGTCCATACACAGCTTTCTCTGTGGTCCATTGAAAATGCCAGCCACAGGCCCATACTCAGCCCTTTGCATTTCTTCCTTCCTGTGCCTAAAATTCTCTTTCCGAGCTAGTCCCTTGCTGATGTTAGTGTTTGCTCTGATGTCACATTCTTGGTGAAACCATATACCCCACTTATGGTTGCAGTACCCCTTCTCATCCCATAGTTCTTAGCCAGCGTCTGACATCATGTATTTAATTATTTATTGATACGGCTGGGCGCAGTGGCTTACGCCTGTAGTCACAGCACTTTGGGAGGCTGAGGTGGGCAGATCACTTGTCAGGAATTCGAGACCAGCCCGGCCAACATGGTGAAACCCCGTTTCTACTAAAAATACAAAAATTAGCCTAGCTTGGTGTCGCATGCCTGAAATCCCAGTTACTTGGGAGGCTGAGGCAGGGGAATTGCGTGAACCTGGGAGGTGGAGGTTGCTGTGAGCTGAGATTGCGCCACTGCGCTTCAGCTTGGGTGATAGAGTGAGACTCCATCTAAAGAGAAAATTAGCCAGTCATGGTGGTGCATGCCTGTAGTCCCAGCTACTCAGGAGGCTGAGGTGGGAAGATCACTTGAGCCCGGGAGGAGGTCAAGGCTGCAGTGAGCTGTGATTGCACCACTGCACTCCAGCCTGGGTGACAGAACGAGACCTTGTCTCAAAAATAAGTAAATTAAAAAAAAATTTAAATAAAATTCTCCAAGAACGGAAACTTTAAAACTTCCTCTCATGTTTCCTTACTGTTCAATATTGTATCCATGGCTACCTGACATAATATGTTTGTTAATTGACTATCTTCCCTTCTGTGGGGTATTCCCTTCTGTGGGGTATCAAGGAAGGTAGGGCTTTTCTTGTGTTTGTTCATTGCTGTATGCTGGATATCTGGAGGAGTGCCTGACACATAGGAGGTGTGCAGTTTATTTATGAATGAATGACTTGATGAGCAGGAGTAGATGTACAGTAGAAATGACAGGTTTTATTGTTTTTATTTTTAATACAGGTAGATCAGATGAATAAAATAGTGGAAGTTCTGGGTATTCCACCTGCTCATATTCTTGACCAAGCACCAAAAGCAAGAAAGTTCTTTGAGAAGTTGCCAGATGGCACTTGGAACTTAAAGAAGACCAAAGATGGAAAACGGGTAAAATAAGAATATATCTGTTTTGAGCCTTTATTAAGTTTATCATACCTGTCTTTTTATAGCTCATTTTGCATTTACTTGAAATCAGTGTTTCAGTCAATGATTTTATTGATACCTTACATAGATATTTTGTTCAGAAGTTGAGTATAGTTTGACCTAACTATCAGGTATGGACCAGTGTTTGATTAATGGTCAGAGTTATCTTTAAAACTTCATATTAAAAACTGTATGCCTGCATTTTGAGGCAGCTGATCACATCACCATACTTTGTTTCAACAGAAGAATTAGTAAGTTTGACCTTTGTTTCTCACAGCTTGGGCATGTAGTGAGTTAATACTGCAGCTGTGAACAGAAGTCACAATTGGTGTAAATGATTTTTTTTTAAGTTCAGTTGGTAAATTATGTCAGAAGATGATTTTTGGCTTAAGTAGTATGTGATTTTTTTTCTAAGGATATTAACTATCTAGATAGTCCTTTGATAGACTTCAGGTTCCTAGCTCAATGACTTGGATAGCAAAAATTTCACATCTCCAAAATCTTTGAAAGTGAGGTTTTTAAAACATTAGGTTTGTTTTGGTAATTTTCTTTTATCTGAGGACTTTTTAAAAGATACCTAAATTATGTCAATTTAATAGAGTAAATGATGCCAATTTTGCATCTTGATTTTTTACTTTTGTTTTATAGATCTGTAAACGTATGTTTTGTAATTTGGTCATAGTATTGAATGAATGTAATTTATAAATATGTGATTGAATATGACCCCACCCCCCCCACACACATATGTACATACAGAAGTCACCTTGTGATTGAAGTTTTGCATTTATAACATTTAAGAGTTTATTTTTGTTTCAGTTATTATTTGCATTGTATTTTAGCGACACTGCCACCAGGTGTCATTTTCAGCAAACTGAAGGTGATGGTGGTTGATTGCCTTAATTCACTTCCACATAGCTGCGGAGTCATAACTTTTAATACCAGATTATTTTCTTTAGAATATTTAGAAGCACATATGTAATTGTATCTTTCAGAACTGATGTGTAAGTTATTGTGTTCTGCCATATTCACTAAAGCTGTAGGCAGTGCAGTTTCCAGCTGCTAAATTATGCCTATTCCCCATGAGGAAAGGATGGAAAATGCTGTTGAGACCTCCTGGGCCCTTGTTTTTTCTTTATCCACATAGCTCATTAATCATGGCCCATTTTCCATATAACCAAAACTTAGCCTGGGAATCCTTACTAGCTTCACCAGCATTTAAAGGAATTCCTACCAGTTTGAATTAGCATGGAGAGGAAATTAAATCTTTTTTATGTTGTCTCTCTCTGTGATACAGACTGCTGCTTTCTCCATTTCAGATTTATTTATTTATATTTTGCTTCTGCTATTTTTTCCTCAATAAAACATCCCATTCCATCTCTTAAGTCTTTGCCTTACAAAAACCACAGTGACCTATCATTTCTTTCAAATTGATCTATAGGTATTATTTTTAGTTATTTGGGGTGGGGGCATTTCAGAAATGAGTAGATTATCTTTTCCCTTTTAAAATTGGAAGTAGATAACATACATTTAATACATGTAAATTAAGTAGATTTTTATGAGATTTGTTTTAGTCACACTTAGCAATTAACTTAAGCAGCTTAATTTTTAAAAACATGAAATAATTATTTTGCTTTTAAGAGAGAAATTTTGCAACAAAAAAATCAAATTCATTATCAAATTATTACATTACAAATGGTACACTAAGAATTTTGACCAGAGATACAAATAGATGTGCATGTACTTTCATTGGCTGTCTCTTTGTGGTTTGTTTACTGATTTTATTTTTACTTTTACTTTCTCATTTTACATTTCAGAAGCCCCATATTAGGGTTTTCCAATAATGAAATAAATACTATATATTTTTTTCTTGATGGAGGTGGAGAGTGAAGAAGACAATAAATGATGCTGTTTTTTGAAGTACAGTTTATAGATTGTAAGATACACAGATTTTAAGTATTGAGTTTGTTTTCACCTTTATGTACAGCAATGCCCCCCATCTACACCAATATGAAAGACTTCTATCACCCCAAATCCTCTTGTGACCCTTTTCTGTTACCTCACTGCTTTCTGATTTCTGTCATCAAAGCTAGCTTTGCGTTTTCATTGGCAAACTTAGTATAAATGGAGCCTTATAGTATTTATTGTTTAGTTTTGGGTTTTCTTCACTCAATAAATGTATTGCTTTTGGAAATTCATCAATATTGTATGTCTTAGGAATTTTTTTTTATTGCTTCAAGATATTTAATTGAATGAACATGCCATAATTTATATTCACCTGTCAGTGGTCATTTGGTTTGTTCCCAGTTTGGGACTGTTATGAATAAGGCTACTGAGAACACTCTTTCATACGTATGTTTTCATTTCCCTCACAGCACAATCTAAGAGAAGAATTGCCAGGTCATAGGGTATGTGTTTACCTTCACAAGAAAACACCAGTTCTCCAAAGTTGTTTTATTTTATATTCCCATGATATATGAGTGTTCCAGTTGCATGACATCCTCACTATTTTATATAGTTTGTCTGTTGGATTTTAGCCATTCTGTAGTGGATATGTAATGGTTTGCATTTGCATTTCTTCATGGCTAATGATACCACCTTTTCGTATGCTTATTAGCCTTTCATATATCTTCTTTGTCACAGGTCTTTCCCATCTTTTGCTTGTGTTACTGAGTTGTTTAATGACTGAGTAGTCCTTTGTCATTAAGTTTTTTTGTCACATATATGTCAGTGTATTTCCCTAGACTGTGGCTTGCCTGTTCCTTTCTTAATATGGTATCTTTTGATGAATAGGAAGTTTTAATATTGATGAAGTTGTATTTGTCAACTTTTTTTTTTTTTTGGTTCTTTTTTTATCCTGAGAAATCTTCGCCATCTCCAAGTTTGTGAAGATACTCTTCTATGTTTTCTTCTAAAAGGTTTTTTCTTTTTTTTAATCTGCTTTTTACAGTTAAGATTCTGTGGTCCATCTTGAATTAATTTTTGAGTGTGGAACAGGGTGAAGGAGTTGAAATTCATTTTCTTCCTTATGCTTACGTCATAGTTACAGTAGCATTTGATGAAAGCAATTATTTTACCCTATTGATATGTTTTCAATTCTAGGTCCTTTCTATTCACACATGAATTTTAGAATCAGCTTGTAAATTTCTACCAAAAAATCATGCTAGCATTTTGATTTGGGTTGCAATTGGGGTTTCCGTCAGGAAAATGGACATCTATCTTAACAATATTAAGTCTTCCACTCTATAAAGATGGGTTATCTCTCCATTTATTTAGGGCTTGAAATCTCTCAGCAGTGTTTTATAGTTTTTAATGCAGAAGTCTTACATATTTTGTTCACTTTATTCCTAAGTTTTTAATTTTTTAGATGCTATTTTAAATGACATTTAAAATGTATAATTTCATAATTTTTCATTTTTGGTATATAGAAATGCAACTGATTTCTGTATCCTAAGACCTTGCTAAATTCACCTATTCTAGTACAGATAACCCTTGAACAATACAGGTGTGAACCACACAGGTCCACTTGTATGCAGATTTTTTTCCAACAAATACAGTCAGTCCTCTATATCTGAGGGTTCCACATCTGCAGTCAAATGTGGATCAAAAATACAGTATTCCCTGGATGTGAAACCTGTGTATGAGGGCAAACTTTTCACATATGTGGGTTCCACACAGCCTCCTTGTGGAGCTTGAGTATGTGTGAATTTTAGTATATTTAGTGGGGGGATCCTGGAACCAACCCCCTGCATATACTGAGGGATGAATATATTTTCGTTGTTGAAATTTGATAGGGCTTTCTACTTAAACAATCTTATGCTCCACGAATGAAGACAGTTTTATTTTTTCAATTGTATATCTTTTTTGCTTTTTTAATATCATGAGTGGGTTTTGAATATTGTCATGTTTTTTCTGCATCTATAGGGATCATCATACAATTTTTCTCCTGTTTTGTGGTAAAATGCATTAATTTTTTGAATGTTAAGCCCCACCCTATGAGAAACTACACTTGGCCTTGATATGCTATTCTCTTATATATATTGCTCAGTTCGGTTTGCTAGTCTCTTGGTAAGGAATTTTGTTTCTATGTCATTAATGGATATTTGTCTAAAGTTTTATTAATAATACCATCATTAGGGTTTGATTTTAGGGTTATGCTGGACTTGTGAAACTATTAGGAAATATTTTTTCTTGATTTTTCTGAGAAAATTTGCATATGATTGGTTGACATTATTTCTTTTGTAATGTTTAGTAGAGGTCATTGATGAAACCATCAGAACCTGGGGCATTTTTTGTTAGAAGGTTATTTCATTATAATTTATGTTTTTTATTAAAAATATGGTTATCTAAATTTTTTAAGTTGGTTTTGGTAAGTTGTATCTTTCAAGAATCTTTTCCTTCTCACCTAAATTGTTGAATTTGTTGGCATAAAATTATCAATAATATTTTACTTTTTTTTTTAATATCTAGAGAATCTATAGTGATAGTTTTTTTTTTTTTTTTTTTGCTAAGTCTCTCTTTTATTCCTGATATTGGCCGTTTGTACTTTCTGTTTTTTCCCCAAGTAGTCTTGCTCAGGGTTGATCAAGTTTATTAATCCTTTCAGACAACCAGCTTTTGACTTTGTTGATTTCTTTTTTTTTTTGAGACGGAGTCTCCCTTTCTTTCCCAGTCTGGAGTGCAGTGGCGCGCAATCTCAGATCACTGCAAGTTCTGCCTCCCGGGTTCACACCATTCTCCTGCCTCAGTCTCCCGAGTAGCTGGGACTACAGGCACCCGCCACCACAGCTGGCTAATTTTGTGTATTTTTAGTAGAGACGGGGTTTTACCATGTTGGCCAGGCTGGTCTCAAACTCCTGACCTCAGGTGATCCACCCGCCTCGGCCTCCCAAAGTGCTGGGATTACAGGTGTGAGCCACCGTGCCTGGCCTCTTTTTCTATTCTTGATCTAGTTTCTGGGTTTTTTGCTCTTCATTATGTCCATTTACTTGGGTTGAATTTACTCCTTTTCTTGCTTCTTAAAGGTGGAAACTAGATCATTGATTTTTAAGCCTTTTTGCTACTATAGAATTTAATGGTATGAATTTCCCTCTAAGCACTGCTTTAGCTGCATTCTGCAGCTTTTTGTATGTTTTTGTTGTTGGTTTTTCTTTTTTGTTTTCTTTTTCTTTCTTTCTTTTTTTTTTTGGAGACGGAGTCTCGCTCTGTTGCCAGGCTGGAGTGCAGTGGTGCAATCTTGGCTCACTTCAACCTCAGCCTCCCAGGTTCAAGCAACTCTTCTGTCTCAGCCTCCCAAGTAGCTGGGACTACACACACCCAGCTAATTTTTGTATTTTTAGTAGAGGCAGAGTTTCACCATATGACCAGGATGGTCTCGATCTCTTAACCTCATGATCCACCCGCCTTGTCCTCCCAAAGTGCTGGAATTACAGGCATGAGCCACCACACCTGGCCACTTTTTATATGTTTTAAACAGTCATTCTGAAATGTTTCTAACTTGTGATTTCTTCTTTAACCTGTCATTATTTAGAATTTTGTTACATAATTTCAAAATATTTGAGGATTTTCTAGATATCTTACTGATTTCTAGTTTAGTAGCAGTTTGGTCACAGAACGTGATTTCAGTCCTTTAAAACTGAGACTTGTTTTATGGCCTAGCATCTAATGTGTCTTTGTGAATGTTTTACGTGTGCTTGATAAGAATTGTATTTTGTGTTTGTTTGGTGTAGTGGTCTCCAACTATCAATGTAGATGAAATTGTTTTATATTTTTCTTCATATCTTTTATATCTTTGTGTATGTGTATATTCTGTCAGTAATTGAGAGAGGAGTCTTTATTGATAAGTTTGGATTTGTCTTAGACTCCTTTGTAACATTGCTTTATGGTTTTTGAAGCTTTGTTAATAGGTGTATGCATGTTTGATATTGTTATGACTTACTAATAAATTGACCCTTTTATCATCCTGAAATGCCCCTCTTTGTCTCTAGTAATGTTTGTCTTTAAGTTTGCTTTGTCTGATACTACTGTAGTCTTAACCAGTATTCTTATTCTTGGTATTTTCATGGGGGTGTGTGTGTGTGTGTGTGTGTGTGTGTGTGTGTGTGTGTGTGTCTGTGTGTAGATAAAAAAGATATGAAGAAAAGTATGCAACATGTGTATACACACACATACACTTTTACCCTTTTACTGTAAACCTGTGCATACCTTTATATTTACAGAATTATTTTTGTGTTGTGTGCAATATATGGTCAGGTCGTTTATTAATCTAGTCTGATAGTAGTTAACCCGTTATTCAGAGTTTTGGTTTAATTGCGTTCTGTTTGTCTTTCCTGTTCGTTGTTTCCTGTTCCTTCTTTCCTGCCTTTTGAGGGGAGGTTTGTTGAATACTTTTGGCATTTTATTTTATCTCCCATATTGATTTTTTACTTACTCCTCTATGTGTCATGTTTAGTGTTCCTTTTATAATATGCACCATTAACATTAGTTTACCTTCAAATAATAATATATTGCTTGTTAAACAGTGTGATAACCATGTGATTCTATCTACCTCTTGTGCATTTGTTGTATTACTTTTGCATGTTACATCTCACAACACATTATTGGCTGTTTAAATAAAAAATAGATTTAAACACACAAAAGAAATTTAAAAGCAGATAAAATAAGGATAATAGATCTTTTATATTTATCCTTATATTTGCTCTTTTCTGGTGTTCTTCATTACTTTTTGCAATTCCTAGCTTCCATCTGGTATTATTTCTTTAGCCTCAAGACCTTCCTTTAACTTTTATTTTATAATAAGTAAGTTATCCTAATGAATTCTGTCAACAGGTGTTGATCTGAAAATATTTGTTTACCTTTATTTTTTGGAAGATATTTTCAGTGAATATAGAATTATAGATTAACTTCTTTCTTTCAGCAAAAGAAAAAGATGTTACGATATTGCTTCCAGGTATATTGACTTTTTTTCTGGATTACACTGTTTCTGTAGAGAAGTCAGTGGTTATTCTTAGCATTATTCCCCTGCATATAATATTTCCCCCTCTTCCCTCTGGCTGATTTTAATGTTTTCTCTTTGTTTGATTTCTACAGTTTGACTATTTACCTACGTATGATTTTCTTTGTATTTATTCTCCTGGGAGTTCCCTGAGTTTCTTGAATCTGTGGGTTGACCTCTATCATCAGTTTTTGAAAATCCTCAGACATAGTCTTTCCAAATATTTGTTGTGCTTTCATCTTTCTTCTAGTTCTTCAGTGATATGTATGTTACAGTGCTGAATATTATCCCAGTGGTCTCCTGATTTATTCATTCTGTTTTCTGTTTGTGTTTTTAATTTGGATAATTTCTTTTTCTATCTTCTGGTTTACTCATTTTGTTTTTCCTTGTGCTGAGTCCAGTCTGCTGTTGAATCTATTAAATGGATTCATGTGATGTTATTGTTATTTTTGAGACAGGTTCTCACTCTGTCGCCCAGGCTAAAGTGCAATGGTGTGATCATGGCTCATTGCAGCCTTGACTTCCTTGGCTCAAGGAGTTCCTCTGCCTCAGCCTCCCAGGTAGCTCAGACTACAGGAGTGGTACAGGCACCATACCCAGCTATTAAAATTTTTTGTAGGGTCGGGGTCTGGCTATGGTCCCTAGGCTGGTCTTGAACTCCTGGACTCAAGCAGTCCTCCCACCTCAACCTGGGTATAGAGACATGAGCCCAGCCTATATTTTTTAGTTCTGGCATTTCTATTTTGTTTTAAATATAGTTTTTCTCTTCTGAAATTCTACATCTGTTCATATGTTGTCCACCTTTTGAACTAAATTGTTTAATTATCATAATTTATTAGAAGTAATTTATCGTAATTATTTTAAAGTTCCAGTCTGCTACTCTCAACATCTGTACCATTTATTTATGTGTATCTTCTATTGGGTTTTTTTCCTTTCATGTGATTGTGGACGTCATTTTTTTAAAATGTCTGTAATTTTAAAATGTGTGACAAACTTTCATTGCTTAAGAACAGTTAAAGATGAATCATATTTTCCCTCAGAAAGAGGCCTCTTACTCTGTCAGGCCCCTCATGTGGGGCTGATTTGATTTCTTTTGTAGCTTAGCTGACTGTAGGCTTTGCTTGTTTGACTTAGATTCTATTCCCCATTGTCTTCAGATGTTTTGAGCTGGGATCACGACATTCGCTTCAGCAGTGTTTGTGTCTTTAGAACCAGGGAAAATCTAGTGGTCTCTATACATTACTGCCCAGCCAGCAGCCCCACTCCTAACCCTCCGTGCCTGGGAGATCACCTTCCTCCCGCTGTACTGCCCCATCCTTCTGTCTGTCCACACCTGACCGTCAGAAGTTGGTTCAGACTTGGGCTGGAGTCTTCTCGCTCACCTGTGGCGTGCTTCTCTTTCTCCCACTGCAGATCTCTTCCAGGAGAGACTTCATTTTGTAGAATTCAGGGGATTTTTGTTCCAACTTTGGATCCTCAGGCAGCTCTCTGATGGGTCTTTAAAAGTCAGTGATTTTATGACTTATTAGAGAAGGAACAATCATCTCACACATTTCTGCATTGTAACTAGAAGTCAAAGTCTGGTTATGCTATTCTTAATAAATTCCATATTTATAGAGGTTTTAAGGGTTATACTGTTATCTATCAAAAAATGGGTTTTCAGGGAATCTGAACACACGTTAATTTATTATTACATAGATTTTCTAAAGGGAAGCATACATAATTTTCTCTTTTTCTACTCTGAGCAGGTAGGGTTAGGCGAGTGCCTTTTTATGTAGAACATCCTTGGTGTGATTGCCATAGCTTTCTTGGGCTGCTGTTGGTGAAGGAAGTGTAGCAGGTGCCGAGGGTGCACAGTTAAGCAGGAAAGAGGCTACCAGCCAGGGTGGGCAGGGGCACGCGTGCTCTCTGTAAAAGACGAGAGAAAATGCTTTCAGCCTTGTGGGCCTCTGTTACATGTTTTTTGGTTTTGGTTGCTTGTTTTTACAACCTTTGAAAACAGAAAAAACGTTTGTAGCTGGTGCTGTAGAAAACCAGGCTCTGGATCAGGCCACAGTTTACTGACCCCTGGGCCATTTATAGCCATTTTTGGTCTCAGAATTATGTTGAACTGTAACTGCCATGCATTTGGGATACTAATGTGTGAAAAGGCAGAGGATTTAATTATGAAGTGTCCTTTTTAATAAAGGCCTCAACATATATTTATTTGAAGTTAAATTATGTGAGTGTTTACGTATATTCCACCAAATTTAGAGAAAGCCTTTCATCTTCTCTCTTACAGGAGTACAAACCACCAGGAACCCGTAAACTTCATAACATTCTTGGAGTAGAAACAGGAGGACCTGGTGGGCGACGTGCTGGGGAGTCAGGTCATACGGTCGCTGACTACTTGAAGTTCAAAGACCTCATTTTAAGGATGCTTGATTATGACCCCAAAACTCGAATTCAACCTTATTATGCTCTGCAGCACAGTTTCTTCAAGAAAACAGCTGATGAAGGTACAAATACAAGTAATAGTGTGTCTACAAGCCCCGCCATGGAGCAATCTCAGTCTTCGGGCACCACCTCCAGTACATCATCAAGCTCAGGTCTGTGTTGCTGCGGTTAGATTAGGCTTGGGAATGTTTTGTGTTTTCTTTATGAAGTGGGATTACTTTAAAGTGTTGATTAAATTTGTTAATTTAATGGGGAGCATTTACTTTACTTAAATCTGTTCTTTATAGTTAGCAATAAATTCATCTCCCCAAAGCTCCAATATTTAGTTACGCATGTAATAAATTCTGTTTGGCAGTTGGAAATCTATTTACTAACCAGCAGTTTAAACTACTTCTTAAATGGAATTTTTGTCCACATTGCTTGAGTTTTCCCGCAAGGGGAAACCAGACTTCATTGTGTTTTAGTTCAGTGGTGGACGAGAGAGAACCTGGTTTTAGTCAGAGAGTATGAAGAGTTTGTGATATACTTTCAAGTTAATATTAGAGATTTTGTGGTGTGTGTGTGAATACTTCCAATTTTAATGGTATAGTTTCAGAGTATAAATTTGAACAAATTGAATTTTAAACTCACAGTTGTATTGTTTTGTGTTGTGATATTTCAGGTGGCTCATCGGGGACAAGCAACAGTGGGAGAGCCCGGTCGGATCCGACGCACCAGCATCGGCACAGTGGCGGGCACTTCACAGCTGCCGTGCAGGCCATGGACTGCGAGACACACAGTCCCCAGGTGAGCTCGCACATGGTTCATTTGCTTGTGTCACCTGCCGTGCTCAGGTAGAGCAGCACTGGATGCCAGGTGCCTTTAGAATGACCGTATCATTTACCCTAGAAGTTCATGATGTTCTGCTGTCTAAGAAACTATCAGTATTTATCATAGAGAAGCACATTCTTGCAGTTGTCCTCCTCCTCGTCTAGAAGTGGCTAACACTTACTGGGGGCATAGCAGTTGTTTTGAACGGTTTTTTCCCTGTGTTTATCTCATTTACCAAAGCAGCATTTTGAGCCTCATGCTTTCTTGATTCCCATTTTACAGTGGAAACTGAGACTTCATGGGCTGAGTAAATTTCCCTGGGTCATGATCTTAATGACTCGACTCTGCTTCCTCCCATGATTTTTTAGCACTTGTAGTCCTGGATTATGAATCAGTTTCTGGTTTGATTTTAACCTTTTTGTTGTTGTCGTTTTATTTGTTTTCTGTTTTTAAACCTGTTGAGGAAGAGGATCTAATTAAGTACTTTTTCAAAATTGGAGTGAAGCAGATGGTGATGGTGAAAATATTTAAATCATCTGATAAAGTTGTAAGTTGGTTCATACAGAATTTTGCATGGTGGTGTTTGAAGGTGAGAGGCCAGTGTAGTATTTGATGGATGAGTAAACTGCTGTTGAAGAGCGCTCTCCATTCTTGTGACTAGGGCAGCTGAATGAATGGTGCTGGAGAAAATCCCACATGCAGCTGTTTGTCAGCACTGTTAATACTCACCAACCACTGCTGGGCAGTCTTACGTGTTTCCCGAGTTGTCCCATCCTCTGCTGTTCTCTTTAATAATAGTTTCAAACTTTCTACTCTTAGAAACCTTTGCCCTCCCCTTCTCTGTTCTCACCCAGTCTTTGCATTGTAAGGAAAAGAGTCTTCAGACAGGAACTCTTTCCGCTTTGTAGCATTGAATACATGATCCTGCCTATGTGTGCACTGTCCACTTCTCTACCCCTTTTTTGTTAGAAGCAATGTATTTTCTTTTTGCCTAAGGCCAAGCCTACTCATTACCCCGATCCCCTCTCTCCTGCCGTCATGGAGACTTTGCCCTTTGGTCTCCCTCGGCTCTGGTGTCTTCATTCTCTCTTCTTGTGGCTTTTTCTGTTGATCAGCATTTCCTCATCCTCGGGCCTCTCCCATCTTAAGCAGCACCTTTGCGTGTCCCCCTTTCTTTCCCTGTACTACTGCTGCCTGTAGTTTTTATCTCTTTACTCTGAAGACCTCCTTGCCTGTTCCGCTTAGGTCCTGCCCTCCAGCTCTCCTGCCGGTGTCAGCGGTGACCTTCATTGATGGGTCCAGTGGACTCCCTAATGCTATCTTTCTGCATTCTACAACTTCATTTGGAAGTGTTGACTTTTACCCACTCTTTGAAATACTCACTGCTGGTTTCCTTGGGAGGATGATTCTCTGTCCCCCCATTTCTCTGCCCCTTCCTTCACTGTCTCTTTGTTTGTTTTTTTTTCTTCTACCCACCCCTGAAACCTGAGTGTTCCTCGAGGCGTGACACGTGTCCCTGCCCTACTCCCCTTAATGTTTCCTCGATGATTTCAGCCACACGTGCCGGGGCCTGCAGTCACCATCTTCATGCCAGTTGCTCTTAAGTCTTGACTTCTGACTTAGACTTCACTTCTGAACCCCTAGGGCCTTTCTAGTTGTTTACTATGAATGTCACCTTGAAAGTCTCAACAATATGTGCACACACAGCACATAAACTGGTGTCATCATTTCACTTCCTTCCCAACTCTTCTACTTTTGCCATTCTTTGTAAAAATGGCCCTAAATTTACCCATTTGCTCAAGTCATAAATCTGGGGGCACTTCTCTCTCCGTCTTTCCCCACACTGAATCAGACAGTAAATTATCTGGATTCACCACATCTTAATACGTTTTTATTCTCCACCTTTCACTTTGCCTGGTTGTTATGACCTGTCTTACTAGAAAGAGTTTTGGAGTGTCTAAAACGGTTGTGGAGTGTCTAATTCCATTCACCTGTCAGCACCATTCTCTTCCCTGCAGCCAAGTGAGCTTTCTCTAAAGCGGTCTGTTCTTGCTATTTTCCCTACTCTTTTTTTTTTTTTTTTCTGAGGTGGAGTCTCACTCTATCTCCCAGGCTGGAGTGCAATGGCATGATCTCTGCTTATTGCAACCTCCACCTCCTTGGTTCAAGCAAGTCTCCTACCTCAGCCTCCTGAGTAGCTGGGATTACAGACACATGTCACCATGCCGGCTAATTTTTCTATTTTTAGTAGAGATGGGGTTTTGCCATGTTGGCCAGACTGGTCGTGAACTCCCGACCTCAGGTGATCTGCCCATCTCGGCCTCCCAAAGTGCAGGGATTACAGGCATGAGCCACCGCACCCGGCCTGTTTTCCCTACTTTAAACCAGTTTTAACTTGCCCTTCTACCTGAAATGAAATGTAGACTTCTTACCAAGGCATTGGTGCTTTGTGGGTTCTGATCCCCACCGAGGCCATTCTTTCTCCTCTTCACTCACCCTAGTCACACTGATTTATTTTTCACTTTGTGTAATATGCCACATTCTCTCTCTCTTTTCTCACATTTCCTGTGCTCTCAGCCTGGAATACTCCTTTCCTCCTCGTTTTGCTTTGGTAACTACTATTTATGCTTCAGGTCTTAAGTATCACTACTCCCATGGGCTCTCTCTAAATCTTTAGACTATCCGCCTGTCTCGTCTTCTTCCCTTTCTTTCTTCCAGATCTATTCCATACTGCAAACACATACAAGAGTAGCATAAGACACCGCGTTCCTCCCACCTGGATTTCACAGAGGTCAAGATTTTGCTTCAAATCCTTTTTTATTACTTAATTTTTGAGTGGTTGCTATAGTCACATGGTTTTAAAAATAAGTAAATATAAAAGGGAATTCAGTGAAAGGTTTTCCTTCCTTCCATGCCTTCTAGCCCCTCAATTTCTAAACCAGTGTTACTAGTTTATTAGTTTTTTGTATACTTCTGGAGATATTTTATACATATTCAAGCAAATACAAATACATACTCTTCATCCACCCTTTGTACACAAATAGGACCATACCAGGCAAACTGTTTCAAAACAACTTGGTTTTTCTAGTCTTGACATATATTTTGGAGCACTCTCTGTATCAATACATAGAGAGCTTTTTCATTCTTTTATTTATTTGCACAGTATCCTGTTAGATATTCCATAAGTCTTTTCACCATTCCCCTATTGTTTGTTTATTCATGTATTTATTTATTTTTAGAGCTAGGGTCTTGCTCTGTCACCCAGGCTGGAGTGCAGTGGCACAATCACGGCTCACTGCAGCCTTGAGCACCTGGGCTCCAGTGATCCTCCCACCCCAGCCTCCTAAGTAAATGGGCCTACAGTTGTGTCCCAGCACACCCTACAGTGAGGTCTCACTATGTTTCCCAGGCTGGTCTTGAACTCCTGGGCTGAACTGATCCTCCCACCTCAGCCTTCCAAAGTGCTGGGATTATAGGCATGTGCCGCTTTGGCCACCAGTCCCCTATTTATTAATGGGCGTTTAGTTCATTTCCAACCTTTTTTACTATTTACAAATGGTACTTTAATAAATAATCCTGTACAGTAGTGTCCCTTCTTATCCATGGTTTCAGTTATTCAGTCAATCATGATCCAAAAATATTAAGTGGAAAATTTCAGAAATAATTCATAAGTTTTAAATTCTGTTACGAGTAGCACGATGAAATCTCATGCTGTCCCACCCTAGGCGTGACTCATCCCTTTGTCTAGCGTGTCCACACAGTAGATAAGTTACTTTGTAGCCATCCAGATTATCAGATCAAAAAACATAGTATATAGAGGGTTTGGTCCTCTGCAGTTTCAGGCATCTGGTGGGGATCGTGGACTGTATCTCTTGCGGATAAGGAGGCACCACTGTATGTGTCTCATTCACACATACACATTTTATCTGTGATACAAATTCCTGCAAGCAGAATGACCGTTTCAAAGGGTAACATGATTTATAATTTTGATAACTATTGCCAGATTGCCCCCCATGTGATTTTCTAATCCAGTAACTTGATTAACTTCATATATAAACAATTAGTATTTTCTTTTCTGAGAACTCACTGCCAACTTTTCTACTGATTGTTTTCAGTAGTATCTCTTAAAAGTTTGGTTCTCAGACCACCTTCGTTGAATAAACACTTAATTTGTGCCAGCCACTGGTGATAGAGACTGAGCCTTTTGCCTTCCTAGAGCTTACAGTGACACAAGTAAATAAAATGAACATGAATAAAAGTGGCAAGTAGCGTTAGCTCTTAAAAAGAAAATAAGAGAATGACTTATTCTCTTATTAATGACTGTTGGATAGGATGTATTAGAGTAGGCCAAACTCTGATATGACAGATAGACCCCCAAAATATGGTAGCTTAAGGAGTACCAAGTTTCCTTCATTTTTGTCTAACAGTCTAGAATAGGTGTTCAGGTTAGTGGCTAGGCTGTCTTCCAGGTCCTGTTTCCTACCATCTTGTGGTTCCACCATGCCCTAGGGCCTAATTGTCTACTGTGTCTACTGTGTCCAGCAGGCAGAAGGACTTGGGAGGTACTGTTTTGTGTGCCAGGCTAGCAGTGACATACAAAGTTTCATTCACATTCCGTTGACAGCTTAGACATATGGCCATCAGTGAGTACAAGGGAGGTTGGGAAGTGTTGTGTAGCCATGTGCTCAGGAACGAGAAGAATACTGTGCACAACCTGTAGCTTCTACCACAGTGGTTGACGCAGTATCAGTCAGAGTGGTCAGGGAAGGCTCTGGAACTGAAGTGATGAAAAAGAGACATCCAAGCAATAAGAAAATCCGAGAAATAAGAACATTTCTAGGCAGAGGGGAGCAGCGTGTTATTAGTACACTGAGGCATTTGAGAGAGAGTGACCCAGGGGAGGAACGGAAGGCAAGCCTTCTTTGGTTGGCACCCAGGTAGCCAGGGATAGGATGGGTGGAAAAAGAGGTTGGAGAAGTGGGCATTGGCCAGGTGATGCAGACCGTTGTATCCGTTTGGGATTGTTTTGTTTTTCTAAGTGCAGTGAGAAGTCATTAAAGGATTTTAAATAAGGAAGTGATTGGATTTGTGTTACGAAAAGATTGTTCCTGCTACCCTTTGGAGAAGGGCAAGGATGGAAGCAAGGAGTTCATTTAGGGGGCTGTTATGTTAGCCTAGGCAAAAGGAGATGGTGGGAATGAAGAGAAGAGGCCAAATTTGGCATCTGTTTCATAGGTGGACGCGTAAGTTCTTGCTCATGGGTTGGACAGAGGCATTGTTAAGCAGCTGGGTAGATAGTAGTCCTTTATTGAAAGAAGAAAGGTGGAGAGAGGAAGGACATGAGGGATAAGTAAAGACTTCCTTTTGGACCTGCCTAGAATACTATCTGGCCTTTTTCGGGGAATATTTGCAGACCCCTAGCATAAACAGTGCTCCCAAGGGAAGACAGTGGCTAGTGAAATAAATGAACCTATTTAAGGATATAACTTTCTACAAATTGCAGCTTTCATGATGAAATTTTTTTGCCCTTGAATGTATTTGGGATGTTGTGTTATAAAACCATCTAACACATTAAAAGTTTCAAAAACACTTAACCCGTGATTAATGTAATGCTAGTTTGTGTCATCGCTTTTGATGGAAGATTAAAGCTTGGAAACAGTCCTCTGAAAAATCCTTTAAAAAAATCTGTTCTTTCAGGTGCGTCAGCAATTTCCTGCTCCTCTTGGTTGGTCAGGCACTGAAGCTCCTACACAGGTCACTGTTGAAACTCATCCTGTTCAAGAAACAACCTTTCATGTAGCCCCTCAACAGAATGCATTGCATCATCACCATGGTAACAGTTCCCATCACCATCACCACCACCACCACCATCACCACCACCATGGACAACAAGCCTTGGGTAACCGGACCAGGCCAAGGGTCTACAATTCTCCAACGAATAGCTCCTCTACCCAAGATTCTATGGAGGTTGGCCACAGTCACCACTCCATGACATCCCTGTCTTCCTCAACGACTTCTTCCTCGACATCTTCCTCCTCTACTGGTAATCAAGGCAATCAGGCCTACCAGAATCGCCCAGTGGCTGCTAATACCTTGGACTTTGGACAGAATGGAGCTATGGACGTTAATTTGACCGTCTACTCCAATCCCCGCCAAGAGACTGGCATAGCTGGACATCCAACTTACCAATTTTCTGCTAATACAGGTCCTGCACATTACATGACTGAAGGACATCTGACAATGAGGCAAGGGGCTGATAGAGAAGAGTCCCCGATGACAGGAGTTTGTGTGCAACAGAGTCCTGTAGCTAGCTCGTGACTACATTGAAACTTGAGTTTGTTTCTTGTGTGTTTTTATAGAAGTGGTGTTTTTTTTCCAAAAACAAAGTGCAAAGCTGCTTGAATCAGAAGGAGATTAACACACTGAACCGCTACAAGAGGGCAAAGCTGACTTTTTTTTTTTTTTAACTTGAAAAGATTGCAAAGGGACATTGAAGTGTTTAAAAGAGCCATGTCCAAACCCATCTTCATGGATAGCTCAGAGGTACCCTCTTTTTGCTCCCCCATTTTAACTTGCCACATCCCAGTCATAGTGGGTTTTTTTGGTCTTTCTATTCAGCAAAAATATTCAGATGTTGGTCTTGGTCATTTGCCAACTAATTTTAAAATAAAAGGCACTGCACATAATTTGCATAAAGGGCCCATGAGGGTGTTTTTTTTTCTTTTTGTCCCCCCCACTATTTTTTTGTTCTGTTTTGTTTTGGGTGGGAGGGTGGGAAATTTGGGTTTTTAAGTCCTCTAAACACACTTGGGCACGGAAATGCAGTACTGTAAGGAAGAGGGACCTCCAGCTTCCACAAACACCATCTTCAGCTGTATGAAAGGGACGGTTGTGTTGAAGTTTGTCAGGCACAGTAAGCATGCTGAGTGGCGGGGATCAGAACTCTCCTATCTGAACCTACTGAGGATCAAAGCAGCAATTACATGGGATCCTGTGGCTCTCCTGTTGTAGAGGCCACAGGAAGATAGGATGGAACGTGACTGGTCTCCTAACCAAGGTGCACTGAGAAGCAATCAACGGGTCAGTCGTGGCCAGTCCTGGGGAGGTCTGAGTGGTGGTCTTTGGGATAACCTTTGGCCTTATGGATTTGGACTCGAAATTAGAAGAGCCTACCATTTCAGATGCAATCACTTTTGGACATGCTTTTGCAGACAGTCCTTAATGCTGAAAACACAGAGAATGGGTAATTCAAGAGGCCTTTTAAAATAGACATTTGTGACCCACTAATTGTAAGGTATTGCAAGGTCACTTTGCGTGTGTCATAAAGTTGACTTCCTTATTGGTTGAAGGTCACAGAAGTAGTGGTTTGCTTTGATGGAAATAGCTACAGCTGTGTCCCTTCCTGCTTTTTACTTTTTCTTTTGCTTTTTCTCGGCACGTGGTATCTCCACCATTTCTTCTGCACAAAGATGTCTTCTGTTCATCCTGAACATTTTTAAAAAATGCAGAATTTTATGTGACTGCTTTTTTGCCTCACAATTATGCTGTGAATTTTACAAAAATTTATTTTCTTTTTTGATAATTTATTGTACCAAAGCTGTTTTTATAGCACATAGATGTCTGTAACCAATAATGTAGCAGTTCTGCACTTTGACACAAGGTGTAACTAGACCATTTTTAAATGTCAGTTGAAAATTATGGCTGTACTATTGCTTAAACAAAACTGGAACTGTTGTTGAATCCATAGCCAATACATTTACAGCAATCTGTGTACTGAACATAATAGATTGACATCTAATTCAAGATTACAACATCTGTTACATTCTAAGTGTGTTCAGGCTTCTGAAGGTAAAGGGACACTGGATCCAGAAGCTATGGAACCAGCAGTTGATTCTTGTATTCCTGATTAACCTACTTGTAAACTTGAAAGCAAGACCTTGATTGCACCAACAGGTCCAGAGTATGAGCGCAAGTAAAGCAGAACTCTCGTGCGTGACCTGAGCAGACAGGCTGGTATTATTAACAGGTGCCTCGTGTTGAGATTACGCTGCCTTAATGTAACACAGTCTGGCAGTTGCTAAATTTGTGTTCCCATTTTAAATTGACCAATTTTGGGGTGTGACACTTTTGAGCGGTTGAATTGGGAGAATGAAGTAATTTACCTGTCCAGGATCAAAAGAAGCCTAGAAAAGAAGCAGTAATCTACCTCTGCCGCTAACCTGTTTAAGACGACTCAGCAGAACACCGCCTTTCATTCTATTGGGCAATTCCATGTGGCTGACTAGGTCAATTTTTTTTCTGAACAAAAGCAGGTTTTTATATGTAAACAGTGACAAAAGAAAGGCTAAACACTATGTAAATGTGAATGGAAACTTGGAAATATTCGTTTTTATAAACTACAGAAATTTTTTGTTGTTTATCAGGAAATCCATATTTATTTTGTAATTAACTGTCAAGCCTGTGGATGATTTTTTTGAACTTGGTAGTTCTTAAAGGTTTACAGTGAATAAAAGGATATCATCTTGAGTATAGCAATATCAAAAGGAATTCAGTAGTTACTGCTGTTTAGGAATATAAGGTTAAGATATCATATGGGTCAGGTCATTTTTTTTCTGTGCTGGTTGCCACATCTTAGCAAGCACCAAAAAACTAAAGCAGTTTTTAAACCGATATTTACATAAAGAAAATCATAAAATCCAATGCTTCTGCATACTGTGTTATGTTACAGTCCAGTTTTGTGTGCTTTACTACACAGTTTGGTTACAGGACTTCTGTGCATTGTAAACATAAACAGCATGGAAAAGGTTAAATACCTGTGTTCAGATTGTAAGATCTAGTCCGGACTTGCTGTGTATATTGTAACGTTAAATGAAAAAAGAACCCCCCTTTGTATTATAGTCATGCGGTCTTATGTATGATAAACAGTTGAATAATTTGTCCTCAGACTCTTTACTATGCTTTTTTAAAATTAATTTAAGAAAAATGTAAACATAGTAAAAATCTTCCTATGCAATTAACCTGGTCCAGGTCTGGTAGGTATACTATCAAAGTTGAGTTAAATGTGTAAAAAGGAAACTATTTGAGATACATCGACATAGGCATCAGCAATCTCTGAAAGTAAAAATTGGAGGTTTAACAGATCATTTTGATTTTTCACATTGATTTTTTTTATTTGAATGCTTACATAATATTTTTGTGGTTCAAAATGCTAGCGTTTTAGTTGGTAGCATTTAGAATGGATGGTGAAGGTCTGGTGGTTTTCTCTGATACGCTTTGACGTGCTTGAATGAAAGAGGGAATACGAATACTCATTCTTCCTTCCCCAAATCTTCATATGGGGACATACCAGAATTCTAGAATTCTTGCCACTGTGATTTAGTTGGTAACCTAAAGTCTTCTCTTCTTACAAATTAACCTGTTACAGTATATATTAAGGTGGCTTTCAAAAGGTAAGATACTTAAAAGTTAAGTGTGAGTCTGTAAAATTAAGGTTGGTTGCGTAAAGTTGAAGTTAACCACATGTAAGAAAGGAAAACTTACATTAGTTTTATTTCTTAGGGTGTGAGAATTTTACCTCGGTAAAGGGCACATTTTATGATATTGGGCTGAAAAAAAAAAACACGACTTATTTTTATTTAAAACTACATGTAGAAAATCATGAAAGATTCAGTAATTGTGTTAGGCCACAAGTGACCATTGAGCTTGCCCCTGTACTGCTTCCCAGCTTTTGTGGTGGTGAACTTAACTGTTCTGTTCTTCCAACAGGGAGATACATAATCAAAATACACGTGAAGACGAGATAGCAGGCACTCAGTTCTAGGCCAGTTTCTCAGTTTCCTTTGGGCCTGCCTTTATTTTGACAGCCCTCAGAATACAAGTTCAGACGTGGTCCGGCGCATTCCAGGTGGTATCTCCATAGACACAAGTTCAAGACTCATTTTTATGTTCCTTTTTATAGTGGTAGACTGTATGTAATCAACTGGATGGTTCATTTCAAATACATGACTTGGTCTTAGTGCCATATATGAAGGAAGTTTGAAAATGTAATGGGGACAAAAGCTGTGTGTGACTTCGGTATACCCAGACTTTATTCAGATTTCTTAAAAATCTGCTAGGGATGTCTGTTGACCAGACGTTGGAAAACCTTTGGTGTCAGGGACAGTAGAGCAGAAGTTCTGATTTTCTAACCCTGGCTCCTTATCTAGGCCTGTTTCCTTGGATGAAAACATGCATCATCAAGTAATTTGTGGTACAAAGAACAAGAGAAGAAACCCTAAGAAGACAGCTTATTTGTTATCCTCCCTTTTTATGACTAACCTTAATCCCAGTGAATCCACTGAGAACCAGCCTGTGGATGCCTGCTGGGCTTTCACACTGGGCCAGGAATGTTTGACGTGTATCTGTGTTGAAAGCACTGGATGCTTGTTTGGTGGAAGACGTGTTCACTGAGGTAAGTGGCTCATCGCTTGCTGTGTTTGGCTCTCTCTCCGGCATTATACATAGCCAAGGTCCCAGATTTTGACTGCTCTCAGTGGGTGTTCTTGCATCAGAACTTTTAAAAAATAACACTACCTTAACACTGAGACTGTCAGGTGTTTGTCAGTATTTACTTCTAATTTCCTACTTTAAACCTTAAGAGACAAGGTATTTCTCCAACTGGACACTGATTTGAAAGACAATAACTAGAATGCTACAGGTCTGTCTTCCAGTATGCGGCTGCTTTACCTGAAAACTTTTCCCCATAATTTCTCATCTTTAGGGTATGTCCCTGTTATTAAAAAACAAAACAAAACAAAAGTGGAATTAATGTGGGTAAATTTCCATTTCAGTTGAATTTCCTGCCATCCGCAGCAAAACCTGTGAATGCTTCTTCAAAGCATTGAGGAGGCAGAGACAAGCCTTAAACCAGCTTCCTTCTGCTCTTACCAGGTAGCCTGGTTCAGTCCCAGCTGGGTCCTGAAGGAGCACAGTACTAGAGTCTGAGTCATGTTGATGAATAAAGTGCATTAAGTTTGGGTCAGGCAAAATGGTGGCAAAAGTTCATGATGCAGGACAGAGGAAACAAGTGGACAAGACAAGTGGAGCCCAACTCTGTTCCAAAGGGAGGCCGGGCGATGCTGTCATGGGCATGGTCAGCCGAGTTCTCATAGCTAGAGAAAGGCCGTGTAGGTATTAGAGCTTAACGTGTCATCTGTTCGAAAGACCAGCTATTTTATAATCTTTCCGATTAAATTTCTGAAATTGCTACCTTGGGGATTTTTTTCTTTATTCCTATGAAGTTTTACTTCCATTATATACTCATTCATTAGTCAGTGTACTTGCCCCTGAATTCCGTATCTGAAACTGCAGTCCAGGCAGAGATTCAGAGCCAAGGGCAAAATGAAGTGGCAGGCGCTGGGTATGTGTGGTAGTTCTGCACTAGGGCGGCCAGGAAGCAGCCAAGCAGGTGTGCCGGGTGGGGGATTATTAACGAACACCCAGGCAAGAAGACGGGCCTGAGCCTGAGTGTGGTCAGCAGAAAGTGTTTTGCTTAAAAGAGACCCTGGGATGATGACTTGGGAATCATCCTCCACTCACTGTTATACAGAAAGACTGCAGAGAAGGGCACTGCTGGGGTGGGGTTTGTTCACTCCCTCTGAAATGAAATAAAATACCTCTAGTGGCATGATACGGTTAAGTTTTTTAAATGTTATTTCTTTTTTAGAGACGGTGTCTGGCTTTGTCACACAAGCTGGAGTTTAGTGGTGTGATCGCAGTTCACTGCAGCCTTAAACAACTGGGCTCAAGTGATCCTCCCATCTCAGTCTCCCAAGTAGCTGGGACTACCGGTGCACAACCACCATGCCTGGCTAATGTTTTTAATATGGGGTTTTGCTGAGTTGCTCAGGCGGTACTCAAACTCCTGGCCTCAAGTGATCCTCCGGCCTGGGCCTCTCAAACATAAATAGGCTGGGCATGGTGGCTCACGTCTGTAAAGATTTAAAGCGGAATGCAGTGAAATAGCATGAGAAAAAGCGTTTTAATGGACATCACAGACAAGCCTTGTTCTGCTGAAGAGGTGATGCTGCGAGGTGGGCTGGAGCTCACTTCAGGCACCACTCCCACTTCCATTGCCCGCAAATCCAAGAAAGAAATGACTAATGAACTGTAGTGATCTCAGACTGCTAAATCAGTTTAAAATCATCAATTTAAAATGACTTTCCAACCTTGCTGCACTTTAAACTCATCTGTAGAACTTTATAAAACCACAGATGCCCATCACACTGGCAGAATTTTAGATTCAGAGTTGGGGTGGGGCCTGGAGCTGTTTTCTGAAACTTTGCGGGCGATTCTGAACCTGCAGCCAGGCAGGACTCTGGCAAGAAGAGGCATGTGGCTAATCTGACGGAAGTCTGAATCCAAGAACTTTTTTTTTTTTGAGACAGTCTTGCTCTTGTCTCCCAGGTTGGTGTGCAGGGGTGCGATCTCAGTTCACTGCAACCTCCGTTTCCCAGATTCAAGCGATTCTCGTGCCTCAGCCTCCCAAGTAGCTGGGATTACAGGTGCACACCATACCAGGCTAATTTTTAGATTTTTGGTAGAGATGGGGGTTTCGCCATGTTGGCCAGGCTGGTCTTGAACTCCTGACTTCAAGCTATCCACCCACCTCGGCCTCCCAAAGTGCTGGGATTACAGGCATGAGCTACCACTCCCAGTCCCAAGAACATCTTGAAATGGAGTTTGATTACCAAAGTTTACATAGAGTAATGGAGAATTAAAATTTACAATTTATGGTGCATTACGAAATGTTATAAACAAGCCTTCGAGAAAGGCAGAAATTGCCAGATGTAAGTATGTAAAACTTACACAATTTGTTCCTTTTTGTCTTCTTCCTTGTGGGGATGGGTCAGTATGACATCCTATTCATTAATAGCTCTCAGATGTCCCACAAGAATGGTACACGTTATTTCCCAACAGTGGGAATGGAATTGGTTCCTTTATGTCTCAGTCTCATTTGGTCTTGTAAGCCCATGAAGGGTTTCCTAGGGGACCAGCCACAAGCTCTGTATAGTAGTTAGAGTTTCCCTCTCTAGAATCCCAAAGAGGTTCAGATCCCACTGCTCCTCTTGTTGGCTTCATGACCCTGGGCACGCTGCTTTACTTGCCCAAGGATCACTCTACTCTTTGTACAATGAAGATATCCATAATGTCCACTTAGGAGATACTGTGCGTGCCTCAGTGAGGTAATGTCCACAGAAAGCACAATGCCTAGTATATAAGAAGTGTCCAATAAATACAATACGTGGCTATACAGAGTGGAGTCCACAGCCTAAATGGAACTTCCGATTTCTTCGTAAATACAACAAACGGTGCAGGAAAATGGGGTGGGCAGTGTTCTCCGTGGAGGGCTAAACAGCATTGCTTTCCAGCTGACTCTTATATTTGGAGTCTGGGACTAGGTGTTAACATTACTAGTTGGTGTTGCGTCCTGCACAGTCCCTGTATCTATTTCAGAATTTTGATGTTTGTTGTGGGGAGTTTTTGGGTAGTTTGCTTTGCTTGATAAAATATACGATATTTAAATGTTGTACAAGGATGGGTTTTCAGTAGAATTTTTCTATGCAACCTCAGGGAGACTGCCTGGAGGAGTAACTATGGTAAGGGTCTATTTTTGAACAAGCATTGTCATTAGACCCTTGTGATCACTTGTCCAGGGGCCGGTCCCCACCCTTTGCTCCCACTCCAAGGAAAGTCTGTTCCATGTTTAGCCTTCAGAGGTTTGATGCAGATCAGGGAGAGAAGAGGGTGACAAAAATCAGCTCTAAGTTTATAAATGAAAGAGGGATATTACCGGGGAAGCTTTTGGAATGTAATAGGTTGTAATCCACATTTTGAAAGCAGTAAGGAACTAATTGCTGCCTTTTTCTTCCCCTTTTTTATTCTGTTGACTTTGTTGATAATATTA